TCCAGGTTATGTGCTGATGTCATTGATGCTTGTGTCACTATTGATTGGTTAGAAGCTGCTCATGATATTCTTGACGTCATGGTTTCTGCTGGTCATCCCATGGAATTGGCCACGTATAGAAAAGTCTTGTCGGGTTATTACAAGAGCAATATGTTGAGAAATGCAGAAGTTCTTCTGAAACAAATGACGAAAGCCGGTCTAATTACAGATCCATCAAATGAGATTGTAGTTTCACCAGAAACTGAAGAGAAAGACCGTGAAAACACAGAGCTCAGGGATCTCTTGGTTCAGGAAATCAATGCAGGAAAACAAGAGAAAGTTCCAAGTATGCTATACGAGCTAAACTCGTCCCTCTACTACTTCTGCAAAGCTAGAATGCAAGGAGATGCCATAATAACCTACCGGAAAATCCCCAAGATGAAAATCCCACCAACTGTCCAAAGCTTTTGGATCTTAATCGACATGTACTCCTCTCTTGGCATGTACCGGGAGATCACAATCGTGTGGGGAGATATCAAAAGAAACATTGCGAGCAAAAACTTAAAGGTAACACAAGATCTGTTAGAGAAGCTTGTGGTGAACTTTCTCAGAGGCGGGTATTTCGAGAGAGTAATGGAGGTTATCAGTTATATGAAGGAGAATGATATGATTAATGATCTAACCATGTATAAGAATGAGTATCTTAAGCTTCATAAGAATCTATATAGAACCTTGAAAGCATCAGATGCTGTAACAGAGGCTCAAGCTCAGCGGCTTGAGCATGTCAAGGCCTTCAGGAAACTAGTTGGTATAGTATGATTTTATTTATTTATCCCCTGTATTATATAACTCAATATTGGTGTCTAGAATGTGAAATTAGAAATCGTAATATCTATTTTCTTCCAGGCAAGTTTCCAATTTCATATAATTGACAACAAGGTTATGCTGAAGGTAAACCAAAATTGGAGGTTTTTGGGAATATTATTTAAAACTCAGGGGGTTACTTGAAAGTTTTGCTCCTAAAAATGGGCCTTTAATACATAAAAATCTATTGTTATTGGTTTGTGATTTAAATAAAGTTTTAGTGACTTTAATTGTTATATAGAATCTGTTGTTATTCAATCAAGATTTTAAAATTTTTTATTAAAGTTTGATGTTATTAATTTAAGATTTGTAAAAAATAACCTAAAATCTTTATAAATCTGGAGTTATTGGATTAATGCTTATATAAAGTCATTAAAAGTTTTATTTTATTCAATTAAAACAAAAAAATCTATGATTGTTAATGAATTAAATTATTATGTTATTTTCTTTTTGGTGTATAAATTTTTATGTTTTTAAAATCATGAAAAATATCATGAAAATATAAAGATTGTTTGAAAAACTTTACAAAATTGTTTAGAATCTCTTTCATTTATTTACTTTTATTAAAATCATCAAAATTCTTTATAAATTAGGAACCGATAACATCTTAAATGGGCCTGATTTTTAAACCGAGTGAACTCATAAACTCGGTCGGGTCGGACCTTTTTTTTAACTCTCGGATTTGGGTTTGGTGGCTATTTGCGTAGAATTCGATCGGAAACTCTCTGCAACGGAAGAGAAATAGAGGACTATACCTAAATTTGGTCATGGATTCACCGCCGAAGAAAAATCCGATGGATGATTTGTTCGGCGAAGATTCCGACAACGACTCTCCATCTTCGCGTTCGAAATCATCTTCCTCCGGTAATGCTTCTTCGTCATCTTCTTCCTCCTCGTCTTCTTCATCTTCGTCTTCCGCTGCGGGAGGAGATGGAGATGGAGATTGTGGTGGTGCGGAATCTGGCAGCGCAAGCGATAGCGGAAGTGGAAGTAGCGGCGGGAAAGAGGAGCATGGTGATGATAGAGTAGAGAGCTATAGGAGCAATGATAATGGAGAAAGTGGAATTTATCCTTATGACGAGGAGGAGGAAGTAGAAGAAGATGAGAAGGATCTTTTTGGGTCTGATAATGAAGAGTATACTAAGACACCTGCAATTAGCACTTACTCAATTCCAGGTTTGTTCGAACAATATTAGGAACCAAAAAGGCTTGAGACTCAGAACAATTTCATCTCTATGCATTTTATAAGATTGATTTTTGTAGCTTTTGTGTCCTCTTGATTGTGCTTGTTGTGGTACCATTCATGATCACTATGATGTCAGGGTGGAATCTTTTTGTCACACTATTATTATCTAGTGTAAATTGTTCTGAGATTATATTGTTTTTGCTGTTATGAAATAATGACAGTTTTGCCTGCGGGATGGAGCAATGATAACCATGGTGGGAGAGGGGGAATGGGACGTGGTCGTTGGTCAAATGGGAGAGGAGGACCTGGGCTTCTTCCTCGGCCTGGACCTTACCCTGGACGTGGTGGTAATCGTGGTGGTTTTGGTGGGAGATACCAGAATTATCAGCGTGATGAACGTTTTGTTTCTGAGCTTAAGCTTTCGAAAAGCAAAGAAACGTTGGCTAGAAAACACACCAACTTTCAGGAGGTAATATATATCAAGGAACACTGTTTTAACTTCTAAATTTTTGAAGGCACGGTTGTACATTACTTCCTGTTTTATCTATGTCTATATTTATGGATATGGTACCATGTTTCAAAATGCTTGATGTTAACAGCCATGTGAGCTTACTAGCTACAGTCGAGTAGAAGGTGGAGAAGTATTCTACGATGAGCGAGGATTGGTGAGAGCTTTGGTATTATTGTTCCTTTAGATTCTCTTTTTTCCTTTTTTTGTCATCCCATTGAACTAGTGAATTGTTGGAGTACGTATTTATATATTTGTTTAGGCACGCATATATTTGCAGACGTGTAAACATACCAAATATTCCACAGCTTATATGTATCCACTTTGTTCTTGTTTCCCAGAGGCTTTTCAAACGTCGTGTTGCTGAAGAGATTGGAGCGGATTTAAATCAAGGTTATGATACTTTTATTGAGAAAATAGGTAATAAATTACTGACACCAGTGTACCCTATGTGAACTATTAAGAAGTGTGATATATTCAGCTGATTAATCGTTCTTTTGAGGCAGACCTAGGCTCTGAGGGATTTGGTGACCTTCTTGACAGTATTAGAGCAAAAAACATTTCGCTGGAGAACATTCATTTTGTGGTATGAAGTGCTGGTGTATATTAGTTCATTTCACTGTCAATTCATTACTTTGAAGAGGTTATCTTAACGGTGTCCTTTATTTTTGCTCTTTTGGACAGACGTTTCGTAATAATCTAAACAAGGTAAGTGAGACCTCCCAACAGTTATTTGACCTTTATGATATCAAATGATTCACTCATGCACTTTTTTTTATTCTTTCAGATATTGGGCGCTGCTTACAATCGGCATGAAGCATGGGAAATGGGCGTGCATAAGAGAAATGGAACCATATATCTAGATGTGCATAAACTGCCTGAAAGGCCGCAGAGTGACTTAGATCGCCGCAGGTAATCTTCGTTTTAATTGTATTTGGGGATTAGAGTGATTGTACTAGTTTCTTTTATAAATGGTGCTAAAGAATGTCTGTGTAGAAGACAATGTTAAAAAATAGGAAGCAATGTTTTGAAAAAAATTGGGTCATAAAGAGTTTATAACACTGCTCTGCATTTTTTGCTACTAATGAACTTGATGTTATATTTCCATCAGATGTTACTGGGGTTATTGTTTCGAAAGCCTTGCGACGGAAGATCCCGGAAGAGATTATGGAGAAGAAATACATCATGTGGATGCAAATGTTGAATTTTGTTCTGTTGTCAAGACTAAACTAGGAGCTCACCGAGTTCTGATGGGTGCTGAAATGGACTGCTGTGATGAAACTGAAGAGGGAAAAAGGATTTACATAGAGTTGAAAACATCTCGTGAGGTATGCCTCTTCTTGCTATAGTTTTCCTAAAAGCTCGTTTGTTATTTCAGCTTCTCTTTTTCATATCACACACATACACATTGGCCAGTAATGTCCCTACTGTTTTACTCCCCAGTTGGATGATCGTACCGTAGACAGATTTGAAAGAGAGAAACTACTTAAATTCTGGGTAAGTATGATGTATCACGGGTTGCATATATCTTTTTTGTTTCTCCATTCTTGTACAGTCTAAAAATGGTTTAACATGCTGCAGATACAATCGTTCGTAGCAGGAGTTCCATACATTGTCGTTGGATATAGGTATGAATTTGCCAACCATTCTGAGGATAAACTCAAAAAGCCTTTGGCGATTCAAGTAAACATTACCATTTTTCCCTTTTCATCTTGGTGTAGAGATGATGGAGGAAAACTAGTACGCACAGAGATGCTAAAAACGAAAGATATTGCGCACAGAGCCAGATTAAAAAACTTTTGGCAGGTAAGTGTTATCAGTTCTTCTCATTACAGACATGAATGATAATTATGTAAAATCAAATTGAGTTATGGGAATTAGGGAGGAGTGTGCTTGGCATTTGCCGATGAAGTTCTTTGCTGGCTATACGGCACTGTTAAAGAAAGTAAGTTTATGTTTCGTTACGGCTACATAGATCAATGGAAGATCTTTTGAATTTATATTTTCCAACCATGTGTTTTGCAGACGAAGATTACATACTTCAGTTCGTGCACCCTTTCATGAGACTAGAGCTTCTACAAGCTCAATCTTGTCCTGACGCCATCACTAATCATGTTCACCTTCTACAACATCCTGCATCACCACCACCTCAGTAACTTTATGCTACTTTAGTGGAGTCATAAACTGTAGTACTTAGGGTTCAAAATCAAATGTGCAATAAAGGTTTTTGATTTTGGATTTCTTTTGTAACATTTTATTAAACAAAAACCCAAACATTGAAAAAGGAAAAAGAATTGCGCTTCCAAGATTTTATTTCTAGTTCTACTTTGACGCTTGTTGACTTGAAAAGCCGAAAGCGAATCTAACATGGGCCGGGCTTGTTTTAACTTTGTCCAAGCCTTATAATCTACCACGTGAGCGTCACGTGTCTCTCTATTTCTCTCTCACTCGTTTGGCTGACGAATCACCGGAGAACCCAATTTGTTTCCTTCCTTTCCTGTTTTGCCCTTCCCTGTTCTTTTATTCTTTTCTTATCTACCAAAAAAAAAAAAAACTACGAGCAAGAACAAAAAAAAAATAAAAACTGTATGTACCACCAAGAGACTAGTTGTCAGATAGATATTCGCGAGACGAGAAGCTTCAATTCAAAACCCTAGAGCTCATCTCTCTCCAGGTACGGCCTTTTCGTTTTTGGCTTTCACCGGCGTGGATCTCCGGTGACGGGAGATTCTGAATTTTGGAGAGATTAGATCATGTATAGGGAGAGGGGTATGGTTGGATCGAAGTCGGAGGTGGTCGATCGGAAACGAATAAACGAGATTCACGATAATCGACCCTCGCATTCGATGTCTCAGCCCGTCAATGGAAAAGGCAAGGTAACAGCGACCTCCGTTTTGATGGGGAAGCAGCAATTGCATGATAGAGATTCACGTTCTGGTTCTATCTCCAAGACTAACATTTCCGACGGTGAGATTCGATTTTGCCCTCTCTATCGCTATTTCTCTATGTTTATCATAAATCGTGAATTGTTCGATTCGAGTTCGTATTTAGGGTTTGTCCCGTGGGTCTCCTGATTCGGGATTCAACTTTCTTAAAATTGATTAGAAATTTCTTAATTTGACCTTATTGTTCTTGATGAAATTGTTATTCATTCTGATGTAAACAAAAAGCTAGAAGCTTGATCTTAGACGCAGTCTAGTTTTGGTTTCTGTGTATTCATTTTGCTTAAGAATGATGCTAATGAATGTTTTTTGGGCATTTTTTGTGGTTATATTAGCTGTAGATATATCAGACACAGACAGCGAAGAATCAGAAGTTAGTGGTTCTGATGGAGAGGATACCTCATGGATATCTTGGTTCTGCAACCTACGCGGGAACGAGTTCTTCTGTGAAGTTGATGATGATTACATCCAGGATGACTTTAACTTGTGTGGACTCAGCCATCAAGTTCCTTACTACGACTATGCGCTTGATTTGATTTTGGATGTAGAGTCTTCGCATGGTAAGTCTTACCCATGAATATTAGTATGTGATTGCGTGTTTTACAATAGTAGTATGGGATAATAGTATAGGCGAAAACTGGTTTGCCCTTTGCTTTTGTGTCTCCAATGTTTGATTTGGATTGACGGGTTAACAGGTGAGATGTTTACAGAGGAGCAGAATGAATTGATCGAGTCAGCAGCAGAGATGCTTTATGGAATGATTCATGCTCGTTACATATTGACAAGCAAAGGGCTGGCTTCTATGGTAAATAAACTTTTTCTCAAGTTACATACTTATCGAATCCTATAGAACATACGCTAATTGCTGTTTTCTTCACCATGTTGTTGCAGTTAGACAAATACAAAAACTATGACTTTGGAAGATGCCCAAGAGTTTATTGTTGTGGCCAACCTTGTTTACCAGTTGGGCAATCCGATATCCCTCGAGCAAGCACCGTAAAGATATATTGCCCCAAATGTGAAGACGTCTATTACCCACGATCAAAATACCAAGGAAGTATCCTTTTTCTAATCTCAGTGCTAAAAGCAGTTCTATGCGGTTATACAGTTAGTTCTACTTTGATTCTCATTAGATAATTGTATACCATGCTGTGTTCGTTTACTGCTATCTTTGGTTATGTCATTCTTTAACACAAAAAAAAAACAGACATAGATGGAGCGTACTTTGGGACAACGTTTCCACATCTGTTCTTGATGACGTACGGACATCTGAAGCCACAAAAGGCATCACAAAGCTACACTCCAAGAGTGTTTGGGTTCAAGTTACACAAGCCGTGAAGGAAACAAGGAAGAAGAAATGCACCCTTGGGTTTTGAGAAACAAAAAACGTGTGTAAACAAAACAAACAAAAAAAAAGACCAGTATGAAGGTGAAACTAGTTCTCTCTCTTTTCCTCTCTTTGTTTTTTTTTTTTTTTGTATTGTCCTTAGGGCGGTTTAGGTAAAAAAAACATTAGCAGCATGGACTGGTGAAATGAAATCCCATTATTATAATTGTAATACTTTACCTTATTGTTGTTCTTTATGCTTTCGACTTCTTCCCAATACCCAATTAGTTTCCCAAATTGCTTGCTTGTACCAATGTAAAATTTGTGAGCTCTTTCTTTTATTCATGTATGTCTCTTAGGATTTTGTCATTTTCATGTGAGTTTCCATCTGACCTACAATTTTCCATAAAGCCCATTAGGCCCAACGATCCATAAGGCCAACAAAATATCGGCCTTTATAAGCAAACCTGTTGCTTTCTCTGACCAGTGAACAAGAAAAGGTTTCTCTTTCTTTTTTTCTTTTTTTTTTATAATTTGGTTGTAGAGGTGTGTGTTGCTGCGAGCAAATAGCGCTGTAGATTACGTAAGAGTCTCTCTCTCCCTCTCTCTGGAAGAGGGCCTTGTTGTGATTGTTTCCTTCTTCTACAGCTTCTAATCGAATTCGTATCGAATTGAAAGTTTTGACCTTTCGTCGTCCCTCTATTCTTGATTAGCAACCCTAAAACTAAAATCGCCGAGAGAATTTTCTCCGTTTGTTATTGGATCTCTACCAAATTGGGCGTTGGTTTTGGAATAATGCCACCGTTTATGTCTGGCCTGAGAGCTGTATCTTCCTTAATTTCATGTCGAAACGCGATTAGCAGGAACCTGGTTAGTCGTTCGGGGATCCGTCGGGGGAGTTTTGTATCCGATCAAATTAGGAGATTTGGTTCTCTTTCCGGCGTCGAGAGATGTTCTTCTAATTGGCTGATGTCCAGTGATGACGCTAGAGTCTCATTCGGGAGATTACCCAGCTCTGTGAGCTTACTTCAGAGACGGCATTTTCTGGGTTGTGGAGATGGGGAAGAAGGTGGTGGTGAGTTATCAAAGATCTACGAAGAGAGACGTGTTTTAGGGTAATTACTTGAAAACTTTGATCCCATTTTGGATCTATCCTCTGTTTCAGATTTATTAATTATATTCGGCGGTATATATATGTTTTGTGCTTGCAATAGCTTTTCTCGCATCTTCCAAAATTCATATGAAATGGCGCAACTTTGAGAAATGGTTCAATGATCTATTATGCTGTTTAGTTTAGTGGTCCTTAATTTCTTGTTTTGTAGATCAAACAGTGAAAGAATGGTTCAATTATGCAGGAATAGGATTTTCCTTTGTGTTTTTCTTGTTTCCAACCCATTGCGTAATATATATATATATATATATATATATATATATATATATATAGGTTGGTTTAGACAGAAGTTGTGCTCCCTGTGAAAATTTCAGGGAATCCTTGATCCTTGTTTGATTGCTACATTGAGAAGTTCACTGTCGGCAATACATTGTTTTTTTCTGATAACAATGATTTGAAGCTCATATCCTCTCAAGCAATGAGGATTGAGTTACTCATGTGTGTTTCTTTTATTACAGGTATTCTCCGGAGCAATTGTTTAACGTAGTTGCAGCTGTAGACTTGTACCACGGATTTGTTCCTTGGTGTCAACGCTCCGAGGTTCTTAAAGAATACCCAGATGGCTCATTTGATGCTGAATTGGAGATTGGTTTCAAGTTTCTTGTTGAGAGTTACATTTCCCATGTCGAATCTGAAAGGCCGAAATGGATTAAGGTAAATACTTGTTTTCAGCTTTCTGTTTGTTGAATTTGAGTGAGTGATGAATTTTACGACATTAATTGAATCCGTATTTTTCAGACAACAGCGAGGGACACCGGCCTATTTGACCATTTGATAAACCTCTGGCAATTTAAGCCAGGACCCATTCCAGGAACCTGCGACCTTCATTTCCATGTAGATTTCAAATTCAACTCACCTCTCTATCGCCAGGTAAAAACTACTTCTCAAGAGAAATAGGATTCCTTTCTTCCTCTAAAGATTGAAACTTGGAAATTGTTAATAAGAATTAAAGAAATCTACATGAAGATTATGGTTTCTCTGTTACTCAGAAGGTGAATCTTGGTTAATGTAAAAGTTTGAAATTGTGTTTCTTTTTGAAGGTGGCTTCAATGTTCTTAAAGGAGGTAGCAACAAGACTTGTAGGGGCATTCAGTGATCGTTGCCGACTAGTGTATGGTCCAGGAGTCCGAGTAGATGAAAACGCATATGAGCAAAGAGCTTGAGACATATCTATATATATATATATAATGGAAGTAACACATCAGTTTAGTTTTCATCTTGTTTGCTAGAGATCGATTGCGCGCATAGCATGTTTTGTTTTTTCATATATATGAATGCTTTTGCATAAGAAAATGAACACATTAGATGTTTGTTTAATGTAAAAGCAGAAAATAAACACATCCATTTCTCTTTTGGAGTCATTTTTTCTTTTATTACCTCTTTGTTAATCTGAATATTGGTAATGACGACACAAATGCTGAGGTATGTGGTGATGTAATGTAACTAACTGGAAAAGTCTAAAAGGTCTGGGAGATGAACATTAGTAGGAAATCAAAAGTCTTTAACTTCTCCTGTCCAAATCTAGTCATAACCATTGAACTTAAAGAAGAAAATGTTCTTTTATTTTTAGTCCGGTCAGATAGAAATGTTTTGGCATTTTAACCAAGGATAGAGTTGGTTCTATAACTATATTGGTTCAAGTAAAGAGTATTCATATGTTAAATAAATCCTCTCTTTGTAATTAGGTAAACAGCTTTCATATGATTTAATGGAGTTTGCAGAAACTAGTACAATAAATTCTTTAATGTGTTGTTAGAGTGCGTTTTTTTATGAACATAACATAGTAATGTGTAAATATGAAGGGTAATGCAAAAATATGGTTTTGCCACTTTGTTTTTTACTCAAATGTACATTTGTCTTGATACTTCTCTCTCGGGAACTAAGTAACCTAAAATAAAGATATGAAATCAGAAAGAAAAGATATAAGTTTACCCTAAAAATACGTATAATGCTCTTTTGATTTGTTATGGGATCAATTTCAAGATTGTGGCATTTTGTCGGAAGGTAAAGAAAAGAAGAAAACTAAGGAACGGAAGTGGAGACGCGGTTTTGCCTTTTGCTTTATCATTTTCTCCAATGACCAAAAAAATAAAAAGCATCTCTTTTTTTAGTCAAACTTTCATGGAATTTCTCCCACTTTTTGTTCCATTTTAGATAAATAAACCAAGGAGTGGAAAAGAGAAGAGAAACGAGTCGGTGTATTATGTATATCAGGTTCTCTAAATGATAGAATAATGCATAAGTTACATTCAAAAGAATAAAAAAAATTCAAACATTATAATATGTACCTACTAAATTCGAAGTTACGAGGTCCGAATTTCAAGATGTATCGTCGCTGTTTAACACATTGACTTGCAACAACTATGCAATAACTATGAGTCTATGACCCGATCCAATAAATACATAAGACGACTAGAGTATTGACTTGACTAAATCACACGCTTCTATTTTAAAAAAAAAGCAATGAATAAAAATGCAAAGAGAACTATGGGCTTGGTTTGGTCTTTGTCTCAGTTAAGTCAATTATGAAATAACTCTGGTCCTCTGTTTACTGTTGTTGTCTATTTACTTTTCGACGTCTGTTTCCATTTCTCTTTCATTTTCTTCTTCTCGATCAAAAACTAATTTATAAGCAAAATCTACTTGTGTATCGTCTATCCATATATAGAAGATTTTCTGTCTTTACTTACCTCTCTCTTTTGTGTTCATACCAATCTAATCTTCCACTGATTGTGACTCAACCCATTTTAGGGTTTCTTCTTACAATCTACTCTCTTACCAAGAAAACACACCTTCCCTTTTTCTGCAAACAAAAGAAAAAGTCTCACTCTTTCATTCATAGCTCCTGACTTTTCTTAATTTCACCTTAGAAATTCTTGTGGCTGTTTTGTGTATAAGAGAAGTTTTAGCTTTACACAATTAGATACACCCAAATCTTCACGCTAACCAAAGAGCAAAGAATAAAAAAAACAGAGGAGACATGAATTGTATGTTCGTGTTCAAGTCCAAGAAACCAAAATCCAGAAGAAATCTGGAGAAAGATTACAAAAACATAAGAGGAAGAGAGTTTTTACAAAAGTCTGCTCCAGAATTAACGACAAGAAGAACATCTTTGTCGTTCAATCTCCCAACACCAAGATCTCTGCCATCTCCAACGAGTATCAAAGACTTGTACACTGAGAGAGAGCAAAATCAAAATCAAAACCTAATGGTTTTCTCTTACAAGGAACTGAGTGACGCCACGTGTGAGTTTAGCAGAAAGCTGAAGATCGGAGAAGGTGGTTTTGGTAGTGTCTATAAAGCCACCATTGACAATCCCACCGGAGGAGATTCTCATTCTTCTCCACTTACCGTCGCCATTAAGAAACTTAATCGACAAAGTCTACAGGTATGCGAAACGATTCAAACTTTGACCAAGGAACTACAACTTTTCAGAGATTTGTTTGTTTGTTGAATGATGTTTGATCTTGAATATTATTAGTTGATCCTCTGTTTTGTAATGAAAGGGTCACAAGCAATGGCTAGCAGAGGTTCATTTGTTGGGCGTGGTTAATCACCCTAACGTAGTGAGGCTCTTAGGGTATTGCTCAGAGGACAGAGAGAGACTTTTGGTTTACGAGCTGATGTCTAATCGTAGTTTGGAGGATCATCTCTTCACTCGAAAAACCTTAACGTTGTCGTGGAAACAAAGGCTTGAGATCATGCTTGGTGCAGCTCAAGGATTGGCTTATTTGCACGAAATCCAGGTGATTTTTGAACCCTAAAACCATCAACAACAACAAAACTTTTGATTGTTTTATACGTAATTAGGCCCTAAACAAACTTTCTATATAAATTTTTCGCGAATCTCTTTCTATACCGTATTAAACAAGGTAGAACTACTAACTAGAGACATGTCCCTTTTTTGGGCAGGTAATATACAGAGACTTTAAATCATCAAATGTGCTTTTAAACGAAGAATTTCATCCGAAATTATCGGATTTTGGTCTCGCTAGAGAAGGTCCGGAAGGAGACAATACTCACGTTACAACAGCAGTAAGTCACATTTCTCCTTCCTTCCTTAGAAATTTGAAGTTTGATTAGTTTCTTCATCCGCAAGTAACAGCTTTTACTTCTTCTTTCTTGATTCTCTTAAAAAGAGAATTGGAACGGACGGCTATGCAGCACCAGAGTATGTAATAACCGGCCATCTCAAAACACATTGCGATGTCTATAGCTTTGGAGTTGTTTTGTACGAGATCATCACTGGTCGTCGCACATTGGAACGAATGAAACCTTTGGCTGAACAAAAGCTTCTAGAATGGGTCCGAGAATATCCTGTCGATAGCAAAAGATTCAAAAAGATCATTGACCCGAAGCTATGCAATAAATATCATCTTCCTATGGTCAGGAGAGTGGCTAAATTGGCTGATCATTGTGTGAACAAGATCGATAAAAAGAGACCCACCATGGCCTTCGTCGTCGAAAGTCTTACGAAGATTATTGAGGAAGTAACTTCTGAAGATATGGGAACTTCTGACTCTGTTGGCAAATCAACGAGTTAGAGGATTATATTTTCAAGAGTAGAGAATATATGTAGTGAAAAGAAGCCCAAGTAATAATATTAAGCCCATTAACTAGAAAGTCTCATTATTTTTGTCAAATATTTAGGGAATTGGCTCAACATATATATTACGAGTCTTAAAAAGAATTTGTGATTAACAAAATCCTATCTTTGTGAGTTATAAAATCATGAGTAGGAGATGAATCTTAAATTCTTAATACAAAAGTTGACAAACCCGTAAGTATAAATGTAATTTTTTGAAAAAGAGTTTTTTTTTTTTTTTTTCACTGAAATTTTGATTTTCATTGATGGAATACAAGATACAAGAAGCCGACGATTGAAAACATGATCCCGGAAACTAAGCCGACGGATGACAAGATATCCTCGGAAACTAAGCCCAAAAGGATGGGAAACATACAACACCACTACAAATGAACAACAATGCCAAAACAAATAAGGCATACGAGACACAAAGAAATGAAATACCACTCTAACTCAGAATCTAGAACTAAATTTTGAAAAAGAGTTTATGGAGAAAGAAAATTGTACTACTCTTTAAATGGAAAAATTAAATAAAAAAGTTGTACTGCAGAAATGATATCACAGAACATGCGCAGAAAAAGATTACTTTTGATATCCCATTATATTATTCTTATGAGTCATGACATCAAACCTACTCCAATAAGAAGAATTGATACCATTACTTACACCAAATTTATTTCGAATCATAAATTTTAACCACATTTATATTTAAATACTGAAAATTTCTAAATAATAGGTGAGTTATTTAATATCACTAGATGAATACCCACGCTACGCGTGGGTTTGTTTTAAAAGTTGTTAATAACAAATTATTTGGATTGTTCTTGTTGCTAGTTAATCACCCGCTAATCATTTACTCATACAATGAACAACTACTCTTAGTATTAAAATACATTTTCAACCAACATACTCAACAATACATGACTCACACAATCCGTAAACAATCTTTCCTAAACCAATTATAGATGGTAATGTTGGGATTATAGAACCTCCAAAATTTGATGAACTTACGCACTCTTCACCCTCAATGTCATATATAGATCAAAAAAATAAGAGAAAAACTTACTCAAACCATTAGCTAATCCACTATACTATTATCCATTCATATTTTGAGTTAAGATTACAAAAATTAGCGGAAAAAAACTTTGGAGTATATATAACCAATAAAATAATTTCATGGAAAAATAACATAAAATAACAAAATATGTTAGTATTAGTAAAAATCAATATGTAAAAAAAATTAAATAATATATATAATTAAATAATAAATATATTATTAACTTGTGAAATAGATTTTCAAATTCATATGGGCCATCCCTTATGGGCTATTGTGTTTTCCCCATTTGACATTTATAATTAAAAGCTGATGTGTAAAAAATAAAAAATGACTCATATTAATGAAATGTTTTGATTGGATGGAAAGAAAGCTGATGTGGCATCTCCAGAAGAGCCTAAAATGCTGACGTGGCGACCATATGGAGAGAGATAACCTCTTTTCATATATATGATTATATATATATATATTAATTTGTACTTTTTCATTACAATCCCATCATTCCAAAATAAGAGAACATTCAGGCTGATGATCTTCATATTACATATTTTCTTTACCATTAGAAAAAAAAAAAACAAAGATTTACCAAATTCACATAGGCGTTTTGGCCATATTTTTCTTGTACCCAAAATTGCATATATTTTTTTTCAAGAAACAAAAAAACTAATAAACAAGAAAATAAAACAAAGAAAGCACAAACCCTTTGAAAAAGAGAGGTTTCTTCGCTTTTTTTTTTCTCTCTTTTCCCTAACCATTTTTAATTTTTTGCTTAGTATTCAAATTCAAACTAAGATCTTTCTTTAGATGAAGAAAAAAAAAACCATAAAACCATTAACCAGGAGCTTTCACAACAGCGAGCGTTAATGGATTCTCTATCTCCTTTTTTTTTTTTTTTCCTTTTCTTAAACTTTAAATTAGGCAGCAGCAACAGTTCCAGTGTGGAAAGCATAATCACGAGATCTAGTTGGAGAAGAAGAAGAGCTTCGCTTTTCATTTCTTCTCATAGCTTTCACAGATGAAGACAGACTCTGTTTCTTCTCTTTTGCTTCGTCTCTCTCTATCTGTTCTTCTCTACACTCTTCACTACAGAACGGTGTGTCTCCTCTGTGAAATCAAACAACTTAAATCAGACACAATTTATAGATCTTTAAAAGATCCTTCATCTACAAGGCAAATCAGAATTAGGGTTTCTTCTTTTGTTGACTAAAAGATCAAAACTTTATCAAGCAAATCTAAACCTAATGGTTAAAGTAATCAAATTTCTTAGATTATATAGCAAAATAGAATCTGGGTTTGTTTCGAAAAGGAAATAAGATCTGGAACAAAGAAGTACCTGTACATGAAGATGTCTCTGTTATCACCGAGACGTTTCTTGCAGAGGAAACAAGAATCCAAGAAATGAGGAAGTGGCTGTCCGTAATAGCTATTGTCGAATCTAAAATCATGGAATTTTCCAGATCTGGGAGATGACACAGAGTACTGATGATGATGGTAATAATAACTCTGAGGATAGCTGTAACAAGGACTTGAAACTCCAGCTTCCATCTCAGATAGAGAAACCAATCCATCGTCTTCTTCTTCTATGAAATAAGGCTTTCTCGTTGAAACCTCCATTTTCTGAATCCTGTCTTTTGTCTTGTGTTCTTGTTCTTATGAGGAGAGAGAGAAAAAAAAGTTTGGTGTGGAGGAGATTTGAGAGAAAATGGAGAAGGTTTTTATAGGAATAGAAGGACAGGTTTGATTCTGGTTAAGAGAGAGAAAGCAAGGAAGAAGCAGCAAGTTTGAGGAAAAAACTGAAGAGAGAATCTATTGGCTTCTTGTTTTTGCAATACCGCTTTTTTCCTTTATTGATATTTCTTTAATATTTTTAACTACCTAACCATTACATTATGGTGAATAATTGAGGCACTAACATAATTATTGTTTTTAGTCTTCCTCAAGCTTATAACCATTTTCTTATGAATCAAATCAAATAGCTAAATTGTGGAATAATGGAAGACTATTTTATTTAGACACAGAATTCAAATTTTCATAAAATATCAATGTAAAATTGAACAAAAAAGATTCAATCAAATTTTAATCCAAGCTAAGTAATCAAAATTAAACCAGGCAAAAAAAATGAGACAATAACATGAAAGAAACTTAATTTTCATAAGAAAGTTCCAGTTAAATTACTTTGTCATTGACCATATTACTCGAAGAGATTTAGCTACAAATTATTATGATCTTAAAAAACACTATAATCCCACTATGATTTGTTGTCTAATCAATATTACTAGTAGTATTAATAACATCATTAACCTAGACGGTATTATTTCAACTATACTCACTTTGTTTTAGTCATTCTAGCATTTTTCATAAACAAATTTCATTTATACCCCTTATTAATACATTAAATAATATTTTTTCTAATTAATAAGCTAAAATAGTAGGGATAAAAAAGAGAATTAGTTTTTAAAACTACATTGAAAACACAAAACGACACTCTTTGTGGAACGAGATACCTTAAAACGACATTCTCTGTGAAACAAAGGAGTATAAAATTGCAATTAAATTCTTTGGAGAAATGGCAACATTGTTGTTGAAGCTAAGAACAAGGGGTATAAACGTAAAACTAATAACCACTGAAAAGAAAATCTTCGAAACGGTTCCATAAAACATGGGTCCCACCCGCACTTGGACGTTGAGAAAGTCATTGGATCGTGGGTTCCACACGCGCGTGAGATTGCGCGTTACGTAATATCAACACAGACCACTTGTGTCTTCTCTTTATTGGCAAGGACACCCACTTTAAATTATTAATAGAACATATACGACGTCGTTTTCTTCCTTTTTCTAGTTTTTTTTTTTTTTTTTTTTTTTAAATTTCTTGTGATGAATGACGTTTTTGCAAAGACTTTGGAAAAAAGCTTTGTGACGACTCCGCACTCAACATTTTCAAATGATTCAAAAAATTAAAATTACTTTTAGGCCTTTTAGCTTATCAATCAAAAGCTTAAATTTGATTTTAACATGTAAATTCGCCACTATTTTCACAGAAAATTGAAAACCGATGATAACAGATGTACAATGTTTTGCAATTTCCATGCAAAAGTCTCATGACATTTCGTAATTTACTCATGTAAGACTACTATTAATTAGAGTTATAACAAACGAAAAAATAGGTATACAACTTGATGTCATCAAAATTCGCGAATACTATGTGTAAAAAATGTAAAACATCTGACATCATGGAAATTGATGGAGTGATCTATGTTATGTGAAAACAGGGTTTGGTTTGAATCTCCATGATTAATTAAACAATAGTAAGAACAACTAAAAATACATTAAATGTTGTTGGACTTCCTTGGAAACAATAACTAATAACGAAGGAGCCTCCTTGAAGTGTGAAACACGCGCCTAAAGGATGCGTGTAAGCAATAATTAAAACAAGTAAACGTCGTACACTTGCGCAAGGCTCGGAAGTTCCCAAAGTCTTGCCCCACCTGTCCCTTTAAAGTCTTCTTCTTGTATTTTTTTTTTAATAATGAATTTCGAATAAATTTCACTCCATAATTTAATATGAATTTCATAGTTTTATAGTAAGATTTATGGTTCGGTATTTGATAAATTAGCCTTCAATGCTATATAATATGTGTATGAATTATTAAGGCGCCTGCATCAATTATATTACTTGTGTGTATGTGTCCAGTGAATTATTATTATACAATTCTGATGCTGAATATTTTTTCTGGTCACGAAGTTTTTCATTTTCAATATTATGTCTAAATATAAAATATCTATGGAACCACGTCACTCTCCGTCATTTTTAATTGTTATAAATATTTTATTCTCTTCATTTTTCCAGATTCTCCATCTTTCCTGTCTTTTCTCTGTATTTTAAAATGAAAAATATATACTTATGTCATTATCTCTCAACTGCATAAATCCTGTGGCCCCATATTTCCTAGCCCATAGGATCGGAGGGTCCCAATTCCCTTTTCTTAAGCTGCTTATTTACTTGCCCTTGCCATTGCCTCTATTGGACCGTTGTTTACGTTCTTATTCTTGAATAACACCTATCATCATTGTCTATGATCAGTCGTCGATAATTTGCATAAGGTGGCATCGATAATTTGTGAAATTATACAATGAATGTGTGATTGTGATTGTTTTTTTACTGTAATCATTATTTGAGTTTTTTTTTTTTTTTGACGAAATACAGGTTAGTATGTGAATGTGTTCCTATAGCAAGAAAAACAAATGTTGAATTTATGAGGTTGATTTATATGATTATTAAAGGGGATTAGACAAAGTATTACACTTGTTGGTTCATTATATATCCGTATAAAATATTGTAGTGGTTGAACGACTACAGAATTAAGAAAAATAACCATAAACAATAAGTTATGAATGTGTAATTTGTTGCTTATGTATCCTAACAAAACTTTTTTTGGGTGCTTATAATATATGTCCGGTACGGTTTTATTTTCAATGGGGTGCCTTGTTGAGTTTATTTCTTTTTGTCAATCTTCGATTGAGTCTTTTATTATAGTTAACTTCAGATCTCTAATGTAATTTTAAATAAACCTTTTTCTGATCTTTTTTTAGTAACTTTAGGTCATAAGTTATTGATCTTACAAAACGTTTTTAAAATAATGCCTTTTCTGAAAGAAAAAAGAAAAGCTTCTAGTCAAGAATCAAGATATTTGTTTAGATTTTCGATTTAAATTACAAATTTATTTCGATGGATGAATAATGTATTCTCTATCTGTAGATTCACACGAATGACACGTGTGTCCCAGTACTTGGCATACCCTGACACGTACGCCTTAAAAGAGCAGTACTTGACTACTTACCAGGTCAATCAAAATGCCGTCCTTCGTTTCCAAGATGGACGGTTCACAATGTTTTGATATACAAATCATCGTTTCTGCATCGTACGATTCATAATTGATTATTCTGGGGTCCATATACCGAATCTCGTCAGTCAAGTTTCCCCCTAATTTTACTCTACTTTTTTTTTAAAAAAGTTCTTGTCAACATCGAAAAGAATATTATTTTATTTATATGTTACATTTATTTTTATATAATCTATTTATATGTTACATTTATTTTTATAATCTAGTGTATTTTAATCAAATACATTTCAGTCCAGTTTTGAATTTTTCAACAAAATTATAAGCCGGCGGTCTAATAATAGTATTACACCAGGTTTAATTAAAAATTATTTATGAAAGTATTCAACACAAGACATAAATATAGTATCACTGTATAACAAGTCACGTCTAGTTAAAAATATTTATGAATCAATCTCTTAATCTACTAAGAAATGATCAAATTCCAACTTAGTACTATTCATAAACTTCAAATTAAGAGTGAAAATTCTAAAAATTATTTCTATAAAACCAAATGATATAATCGGTTACCATTTAAATTTGTTAGTGACAGTTGTATCATCCTATTTGGTTTTATATTCGACAGTCAGTATTATACGATATTAGAGAACAATTCATAACAATTCTCCAATGGAGTAATTTTTGTGTATCCGTACGATAATTTGCAGACAGTTCGTGAAGCAATAATTATGATTAAATACTGTACTATATAATCATCGAGTTTGTCACATGGGATGAGTTCAAAAAGGGAACAACATTTGTGGAGCATCAGGCCACTAATTATTTATATAGATCTATAAAACATTGGAAACAAAAATAAAAGTCCATACAATTAGCAACTTGATTATAATATTAATTACTTTAAGTATATAGTTTAATAACCCCGAGAACAGGCTTGTTCTTCAAGTTTGATGGAGTTTCTCGGATCATTGTTTACAATAAGAGATCTAGAAGCTGCCACAAGGCAACAAGTATATGTCTCCTATGTCGAAACACATCGATTCTCGTATTAGATTCTCCCAATTACTTTGATAAAACAATTAGATTAATTATCATAAAGCAAATTCCACTAATTACTCATTACTTTATACTTTTCTTTTCTTAATCCCACACCTAATATCTAATTCTTAATTATTTCTGTACTAATAATTGTGTATCACTAGGAGCCAGAAGGGCAGCCTAAGATACTTGTTTTGTCGTTTATTAATCATATTCTTATATAAATCAGCTTATACTTGATGCTGTCGTCTATTCTTTGTGTTCATGATCCTGAATGATAACACGCTTGAACCACCGTATTTTTAGTTACACTCCTCCACTTGTAGAGTATGAGTATTTCATTCTATGGGCCTGGGCTTGAAAAAAGACGGCCTTTTATCAATCCCAAGCAATTCAATCATAGTTTAGGGTTGAGCCATTTGATAGTATTCATTTTGGGCCACTCAACTTTGTCACTTGTCTATGTCAACTTTATTACCTTTCCCACCACACACGTCCTAAACAATCGTTTTGCAAGACCATTTTGATACTGACGATAGTGTCCGGATAAACCCAACTAATCCGGAGATGACCAAGCCGCTTCGCTATACAGACCCGCAATGTTAAATCTGCCGAAGTCCGAACAAGAAGTCACCCATTCGTATTTTGGTTGTTCGCAAGAGAAATTGAATCCAATTCCTAGCGAGTTTACACTTTAAACCCTACATACTCAAATTGATCTGCAAAACTATAGCAGTAACAAACAAAAAATTCCTTTTTTACAATAAAATACTTATTGATATTAGAGCTTGCATTACAAGTCCAAATAGTGTCTCTCAACTAATTTAATTTGGTAGATCCTTCAACCGTGAGGCTATATATTATGATAATCAATGTAAGTAACGTTGAGAATTTTTTTTTTTTTTTGTTAAAAAGTAACTTTGAGAGTTGTCTCAAAACAACTCTCATTCTTCATCTTTATCAAAGTATCAATCTTGAATGATTTTGCTATTGGTGACAATCTAAAGCTTCTTCCTTTCTTTATTCTTGCACCTAATAAAGCTCCAATGAGCTATCTTATTTTCAATCTTAGATTTCTATGTTAATAAGCTCATTTGAGCATAAACCATTCTATTTCTTGGTTTGTTTTTTTCCCACAATTGATATGTCATATAAATGGATGTTCCACATGATTCAGAAAATTTAATAAACTATGTTTGGATGGAAAAGGTTTAATTCGTTTTCTAAAGATATGTAAAATATAATACGAGTTTTCAAGTGATATTTTCTTAAGAATATATCATAACATCAAATTGATAGTGTTGTTGTCATTAAACTATGACGGTCGAAGGATCTACCAAATTAGTTGAGAGAAAAAGTTTGAAATCTTTCCCTGCAATTTCATTCATAACTAACCATTGTAATCGTTATAAATGATACAAGTTCTCACATGCATCGAATAGTAGTATGGTTTTGAAATGAAAATTTCTTTTAAAATAATCACCAGCACATAGCATAATAGCTATTCGTCAATTACACTGAATCCTGCACTGATTATTAATCAAAGTGAATGTGTTCACCAAGTAATCCTTTTCTCTTTGTTTAATTTGGTATGTCTACACATATAATTGAAAAAGTAGATGAATAATTAAGTAGATGGCTCCAAATGCTGCATCATATCGTTTATTGAGGGACAAAGGAGTCACATGAATAGTTGGATCGCATTATTGTCACGTGGAAATGACATGTCTCTTGATGCAACTATCATTACGAAATGTGTCTCACCAAACTAGATTTGAAGGGGAGGATCAATTCCTTAAAGAAAAATATTTAGATCTATTTTTAAATGACCAATTCCTTAAAGAAAAATATTTAGATCTATTTTAAAATGATGGTAATGGTAAATTACTAAATTGGTAATGGAAGTGTAAACAGTAAACTCTATAATTTTTAACGCTAAAAGCAGATATTATAATAATTACGGACCGTTCTTGAGTGCCTTTCCATCACTTTTTACTTCGAGGCATCATGGTTTTTTGATGTCAAAAATAAAATTGTAAACAGTAAGCTCTATCATTTTTAACGCTAAAAATAGAGATTATAATAATTACGGACCGTCTCTGAGTACCTTTCCATCACTTTCTACCTCGAGGCATCATGGGTTTTTTGATGTCAAAAATAAAATAAAATTAAAGTAACATTTTTCAAAAATCAAAACCCCAATTCTCAATCGGTGGAAGATATTTATGATTTCAAGCTATAATTCTAATAATGCTCTATCGTAATAGTTGGGATACTTGGAAACAGCATGAGCCATATTCAGGATTGTTATTGGTAATGCCACTACGTAATGTCGCTAGCCACGAGTTTCTTACAAACGTAAACAAACAACTTAACTAAATAAAAACAAACAATAACTAAATAAAAACAAACAATAAATGATTTCAAGTTTAGACTACTTCTTCTAAATATTTTCCAAAAAAAAAAATAACAAAGAATTTCCAAAAAGAAAGAAAGTAAACGAAGATGTCAAAACGTAAAAATGCCACTACATGTGGCTATGTCCTATGTTATGTACATCATCAACTACACTATATTTCAAATCTCATTTTCAATTTATTTTTGCCTAAAGAAAACGTCCTTTTGCTGTACTGTTGTGTCGTTTGTTGCTAGATCTGGATGGACCCATGGGCCTCTAACGGGCCTAGCATTAAATACTCATCATCATGAATATAAAATTTCGACACCGGTATTTGTCACGGCGAGGCAAATCGGACAAGCTCGCAATGTTCCGCCGTCGCATCCTTCACATAGAGCCAGATGTCGACACGGCAATGCCATCACCGTCGCCAAATTTTGCCGGCAAATCCTACAACTAGGACCGAACAGTTCAATCCGCTCCGGATCCACGTACACCGATTCGGCGTCCTCTGCTTCCTCCGCGTCGCCGTCGTCGTCTCCGAACGTGCTCTGTTTCGCCGCCGTATCTCGGCGGCTTGCTATTGCTTGTTGGAGATGAGCCTGTAACGAGGAAACCTCGGCTTCCCGCGTCGCCGCTCTTAACTGCCAGTTTCGCGCCTCTTCCGCGAGGTGAGCTACACGCGCCTCTAGCTCGGCGTGAAGACGCGTTGCTTTCTCCAGCTCCGCTTCTTTTTCTCTGACTTTCCGTCCGACTATCTCCTCCGCAGCGCACAATAGCTCTACGTAGCGCCTCTCTCTGTTCTCCGCTAACGTACGCCGCAGTTCCTCCCCCTACAAAATCAAATTATCAACACAGAAAAAAAAAAAAAAAAAGTCTCTTTGCCGTTTTTAGATGAAGAGTTTAATAAGACACCTGAGTTTGAATGAATCTGTCTAATTCATCTCTTTGCCGTTTAATCTTTCCGGTAACATCTCCGGGAAGAGAAGAATAAAAGTGTTGTTGATTCTGTGACTGGTCATGAGATAATCGAAGACCAGTAGAAACCACATTAGGCGTTTTCTGCATCAACTCGGTTAAGTCAATAACTTGCGACGGTTTTGGAGGTGGAGGGTTCATCGGAGCCATCGTCGTCACCGATGAATAATCTTTTCTTGATCGTTTTCTTGAATCAACCCCTGTTTTCAAAAACGGTTAATTTCCACGGTGATGATTGAGTGGAATCAAAGGAACAAATTTGGAAACGATTTGGGGGATTAAGAAAAGAGACCAGCGTTGATGAAATTAGTGAAATGAGTGTCTTGATGCTGCAACGAGCAATCGTTCGCTTCTTGTCCGTTACTGTTCAATAAATTTTTCATAAGAAACCGAAACAACACATACATAAAAACAGACATTTAATTATATGATTATATGAAACATTTTTACCTGTTGATGAAGAAGAAACTTGAAGGATGCTGAGCTTGAACCGCCATTAAACTATCAGAGATAGAAGAGACCTATGCGTTCACCATCAGATAATAAGGGCATGCATGTGTGTGTGTATGAATAAATGAAGGTGGTGATGATGAAAAATATACTCTCTCCGTTTTAGTTTAGTTGTCGTTTTAGGATTTAAATTTTGTTTCATAATAGTTGTCGTTTTAGGTTTTCAATGCAAATGTTTGTTGAAAATTACAGTTTTATCCCTACTGTTTTAATGTTTTGGCCAATTAAATTTTTATAAAATATATTAATAAAGGATAAAACAGAAAATTTAATGACTTTTTTAATTTGTGTGAAAAAACCTTAAACGACAACTAAAACAAAACGGATGGAGTATTGATTTTAACTTAAAATATAAATTAAGTATTGAAAAAGACAAGGAGAAAGAATGGGAAAGATGAGAGGTTTTAGAGGGGAAGAGACGAAAGGGTACAGAGACTTGTGGTGGGTCTTTTTAAAGCTTTCAACATTATATGCATGATTCTCATCAATGTTACCAAATTTTTTTTTTGCATCTTCTTGTATTTATTTTAGTAGTAATCTTTCAATCATTTTTCAGTTGCAATAAATATAGTTTGTTAATTTTGACTGAATCAAAATAAAAATATGTGAATCATGCATATAATTAGTGGTATTTTTACAATAGAACGAACAGACTAATTGTATTCTACGAATAGACTAATTGTATTTTTACAACACCCTTCCCAAAGACTCATATATTCTTCAAATAAGGGTATCACTATCAAATTAGATTATCCCTTTGTGCACTTCACGTTTCCTCATTAATATTATGCTTCAAAGTTGCATATTATATATATGCCGTTGAGTCTTTCTCAAAACGATAGAGACATTAGACATACATATATTCTAGCAGACAAAAGAAAATCAAGCTTATCAAATGTTCGGAGGTATATGCAGCATAATATATATACGCATGGGTAATACTTTATACACAATAACTCGTTAGCGAGAATTGATATGTAACAACAAATAAGTTGGTCATTTAGTTTTCTAGCATATGTTGGTCAGAAAGAATGGTAGGAATTTATATACTAATAAATGTCAACAATATGACATAAAACTCTAGAAATGTGGTGGCAAGGTAAGCAAAAAAAAAATTGATATAAGAGGGATGGCATGTCAATTGCCAAGCAGTTACATGATTTTATTGGTCAGAACTCAAAAGTCAACATTTGTCTTACTTAATTTTGTTTTGTTTATATTTCAAATCAAGAGCAACATTAGATTATATAAAAGTTTTCTTGTATGTTTAGCCTATCGATTTATAACATTTCATATCTCTGACCATCAATAACGTTTCCTGTTAATTCTAGTTAACTAATCACCATTCCAACTTTCTTTCGAAAACATGAGTAGTACATAAACAAAACAAATCAATTGTGCTTTTGGGTCATTTTCCTCATGGGCCATGTTACCAAACCAGATCAGTAATCAACTAATCATCCCTCATAGCCCATCAGCTTTCATCTTCTTCATTATCATTATCATCGTCATAACCACCACCACCACCACTACCTCCATGAAAATCGCAAAAAGTCAGCGTTTAATCAGCGGAGGAAAATGGCGATGCATCAATGATACATTATAATTCGTGTGGAGTTTGTAATTGATAGCGGAAGTATATCACACGACCCATTGAGCCAAACATCCCAAGGTTTTTACATATCAAACGCTTTCCCACTTCACATTCACACTTCCCCAATTAGCATTCCATGTTTGTGGTTTAATTAACCTAGAAGCCAGTCGATTTTATATTGAATTAGTGTTAGAAAACGTTTCTAATGAAAATGAAGTAAAAACAAACTAAATATAGACCAATCACAGAAATAAAAAGAATATAACAAAAGCCAAACTCCAACCACACGTACATGCTTCTATTTTTCACCGATAACAATTCAATAAAGCAGTCTACCTCGTAGACGTCTCTCTACATTTCAATTCCATCTCCATATTCTACAAACAATAATTGTTTTGTAAATCGATATAAGTCTCGTGAAATACACGATGTCTTTGTATATTCCCGTTCTCTTCCTAGTCCTAGTCTTTGTCCCGTCTATAAATTCGGCACCACCGCCAAATTTAACAAAAGATTATTACCAAAAAACATGTCCCGATTTCAGTAAAATCGTACGTGAAACAGTTACACCAAAGCAAGGCCAGCAGCCAACGACAGCTGCTGGAACACTCCGTCTCTTTTTCCATGATTGTTTCATGGAAGGATGTGATGCTTCCGTCCTTATCGCTACAAATTCTTTCAACAAAGCCGAACGCGACGATGATCTCAACGAGTCTCTTCCGGGAGATGCATTCGACATTGTGACTCGCATCAAAACCGCTCTTGAATTGTCTTGTCCCGGGGTGGTGTCTTGCGCAGACATCCTGGCTCAAGCCACACGTGACCTTGTCACAATGGTTGGTGGGCCTTTCTATGAAGTCAAATTGGGCCGTAAAGATGGTTTTGAGTCGAAAGCTCATAAAGTCAAAGGAAATTTACCTTTAGCGAACCAATCTGTCCCTGACATGTTATCGATATTCAAGAAGAATGGTTTCACTCTAAAGGAGCTGGTTGCGTTAAGTGGCGGGCACACAATCGGATTCTCACACTGCAAAGAATTCAGCAACCGGATATTCCCGAAGGTTGATCCAGAACTCAACCCGAAATTCGCAGGCGTTCTTAAAGATCTATGCAAGAATTTCGAGACCAATAAGACGATGGCAGCGTTTCTCGATCCGGTGACACCAGGAAAATTCGATAATATGTATTTCAAGAACTTGAAACGAGGTCTTGGATTGTTAGCTTCCGACCATATCTTGTTTAAAGACAGTAGCACGAGACCGTTTGTGGAATTATATGCGAATAATCAGACGGCTTTCTTCGAAGATTTTGCACGGGCTATGGAGAAACTAGGCACGGTTGGTGTTAAAGGCGAAAAAGATGGAGAGGTAAGACGTAGATGTGATCACTTCAACAACCTTAACGTATAGGTAGCATAAACAGAATAACATCATTGAGTTCGTTTTTTTTTTGAATCTTTGTATATTTTTATTTTTAATAAATGTATTTATAAGTAAGTTAATGTAACAATTTTGAGGAGCTAAAATTCACTAATAATTTTTGTTATATAAGAATTAAGAAGTATTAGATGTTATTGTAGAGGAGAATACAAAATTCAAGTTCTTGATTTATCCCCCATCATCTTCTTCTTTAAAATGATCTCATGGACACGAGACCGTCCGAGAAAACGAGTGTTGTTGGCGACGACTATAGTCCGAATTAAATTATTTCACGGTTCAACATAAGGCCTTTCACCAGTAATTATTTTTCTTCATTTGGTATAAGATTGTGATATTTGCTTTATAGAAATAGCCTGACTTATTTACAATTCAAATTTTCTCTTTGGTATACATCTAAGTATTTTTGATTTGACAAATCTATTAGTAAAATAATACTTAACTAAGAATATGTAATTCTACGTACTGATTTCCTTTATCAACGTATGCATCTAAAGCTCTTGTTATGCTTATATTACCAATAAAAAAATCAATATATGATTAGTTTCTTAGCATTTGGAATTGTGGATAGATTGTAGTATTTCGTTTTATTCTCTATTTGTCTTTACTCAACAATATGAATATTATTGGAAAGATAAAAAATAGTGTAAAAAAAATATAAAATTAGTGTCAAAGTCTTTGTCTGGTCAACGTCACATGGATCAGACACGTGTCAGACAACCATGTGTTCAGTAATAAAACAGTCCGATTTAGACACGTGGATAAGTCATAGCTTTGCATTGCTGTAATGATGACCAAATAATTTTATTCCCATTCAAGACAAGAACAAGTATGCATATTAATATAAGATCAACATTATCAATATTCTCTTAGGACAACATTAAAAAACATATATTATAATTAATAAAAGTCTTTTAAAATCTTTTAACTAAGAAACTTTTGTTCATTATAAGACATACTTCCTCTGTATTCGAATAGTTGTCGTTTTAACTATAATTACACTTATTAAAAAAAAAGTTGAAAATGACTATATTAACCTTATCCTAAACAACAATTCATATTTGTAATTCAGTCTTGGTAATTTAGACTGAGTAATTGTAATCAATTAATTGAGGTTAATTTAGGAAGTCTTATACAAAAGTTGTATTGGAATGTCAAAACGATAACTAATTAAAAAAAAAAAAGTGTAGAACGACAAGTATTCGAATACGGAGGGAGTATCTCTTAACTTAAGAGTTGTGTTAACAAACCATCAATAAAAATGGTGTAAGCATCTCAAATTGATAACCCAACAACAAAAAAAAAGCATCTCAATTTTACAGCGCAAAAGAACAAATAAATAGACGAAGAAAAATAAATGTCATTTCATATATTTTCCCTTAATTAAGCATAAACTTTAAAGTTTGAGATTTATATATTTTTAACATATAATTTATTTTAGTATATATATAAGAAATTTAGGGAGAGAGGTTTGGTGTAGCTAAAGTGAAATCCAAATTGGGAGTTTCAGTCTCTGGTCTTGTCCCTGTGAGGCTTGACGAATCCGATGACAATCGTTCGTTGCTTGGACATCTTTGATTCTTCCATTCATTCTGATAACATTTTAGATTTAGAGATTATTTTATATATATATATATATATATATATATATATATATTATAATATATAAGAATTACCTCATATAGCATTTTATAGACTGAGATATTATACGTTTTTTTCAGTTTGATTTCTAATTCAAAATGTCCAATTAAATTATTTTGAAGATTTAAAGACAATCAAATATAGTAGTGAATTGGGTTCTGAATATAAAGTATCATCTCTCCCAGAAAGTCTTTAATTTCTCTGCTTTTGAGACAAAATTAAAGAAGAAAAACACTTTTTTACCCAAATGGAAGAGAAAAAAAGTAAATTATAATCCTTTATGAAAAACTTTTTTCTTTTTCACACCCTCGATTTTTGCAGTTCCCGTTTTATTCCAATGCCCTTTTTGTTAAAATTTTGAAATCTTATACCTCATTGGATGAAATGTCTACAGCTGATGATGCCTTTGCCTTTAAATGGAACCGAGCTTCACTGTTTATACAGACATTCAAATAATATCACATTGACTGTTTTAAGAAAAAAAATATAATAATAATGCAAATGATTTTGGACTCAACTAACAAAATAATACAACAAATGTTAAGTTTCTCATATGATGCAAAAATAGAAAGTTGCCTAATAAGTCTATAGCTATCTGCCCTAATAAACAAAACACCAAAAATAAAACAAATATGAATTTACGAAGAAAAAAATTAATACATAACATACCTTGATGAGTTGTTCCATAGACCTTGGAGATTTCTTGATTCTCTCTCACTGTTAACCTGTGATCCATTCTCACAAGTATCTGAATGCCCTATACACACACACACACATTTATCAGATATGTAGTATTTAACCGATAATTTAATTAAATCAAATACATAATCAATCAAATAACCTGATGACGTTGTAGGTTTTTCAGTAGACTTGATGGTCCGATACATCTGAAACAGTCAACATTAGATTACTATTATATATATAAAAATGCTAGTTATAAGAATAATGTGTTATATCGATACACATATATAATGTGTGTTTGTGTGATGTTCGTGTGTATAGACGTGTTCTATTCACGTGTGTGTATACCTATAACCTATACATATTAGATATGCACGCACACAGAGACAGAGATGGATAAAGTAAGAAAAAAAAGATCAGAGTAAAACAGAAAGCATTTACGATTCATGAAAATGTGCAGCCATACACAGAGATGGGAGATGTGCATGGGTCTACGTGTCTTATTCTAACTATAGTCAAATTATACAAGAAAAATAAGTTATACTATTTGTTATCATTGAAGAATCATGCATATACATATATGTGTGCATATATCATCATTGAAGAATGATGTCTCCTTTGTACTTTTACTTTTCTACTGCATCTCTAGTAATAAAAGGACTCTTTCTCTTTCTCTTTGGCTATATCTAGCTTTTGATTCCTTCTCTTTTGATCCTTTTTTTTTTCACTTTGTATATAATTTATCAATATATGGTGGCGACAAAAAAGGATACTTAATTTAACTTTGTCCAAACTAATCACAGAAAATATTCAGTCATTTCATAAAAAAGTGCAGTGGGTTTGGTTCATTTGCATATTCAAATCCATATTACAATAAATTCATGTATTTTATAGGGTCTAATCGATTATTTATATACCTATACATTATAATAAGTAACTTAAGAAAGATTACCTGTAGATGGGATTTAACATGAGCCAATGTGAGATCTTGCACATCCATCAGCTCAAGTACTGATTTTGGGGTTGCTCCTGAATATTAATCATAATTTCAAAATCAATAAAAATAGAATTATTTCTCAAGCCTATTAAATTTGTTATATAAAAAAAAAGAGATATAAATCAATTAAATAAAAAAGGGTAATAGTGAAAAAGGACAATACTTTCATGACCACCCAATAATTGAACAGCGTGTACAAAATGGGCGTGGAGGGTCGTCGTCCACCGCATCCTTGGAGCCCTTACTCCTCGCTTAGCCGTGAATCTAGGCGGCTGCGGCTGAGCTTGACGCCGATTACGGTGGTGAATATTAAAACTACAATTAGGGTTTGTGATTAAGCGACTACTAGCGTGTTGACCATTGACTTCACTGAAGAAGAAAGGAGTGGGAGAGGTAGATGAGTAGTAGTAGTGGTCAAGGACTTGATTCTGGTAAAGAGGTATTCCTCTTATTGGTCTCATCATCAACATAGATCTCAAGTCTTGATCGCGAGATTCCTTGTGTTCTTGATTATTATTAATCTTGGTGGCTTCATTGTTTGAAGTGAATTGGTGAGTGTGGATGAGATTATCAGAAGACTTTCTATCCGAATCTGAGGCTTTACTCTGAAACCCTAATCTCCTTTCGACTTCTTGTTCTTGTAGTTCTTGATTTTCTTTTTCTTGTTCTTCTTCTCTTCTTTGGCTGATCTTCAAGTACAAGTCAGGTTGTGAAGGGAAAAGCTCCATAACAAGAGAGAATTGGTGAATGGTTTTGAGATAATCTTGATGAATTATAGGGGCAAAAGGAGGGGTATAATGTTATTTATTTCAAAAAGTTTTTCTTCTTCTTATTAACTTAATGAATTTATGTTCTTGGTGAGAGGAGAAAAGCAGTTGTAAAGAATTAGAGAGAGAGAAAAATAGGGATGGCAAAAGGTATGAGGGAAATGAGAAGTCTCTTTCTTCTCTGTTCCCTTTGAGATAATGACACTTTAAGAGTCTAATAAAGGGGTTGGGTGAAACATGAATTTCCATTAAATTTTTCTTTTCCTTTTTCTTCATATGTAAAGGAAAATATCAATTTCTATGGCATATTTTGTTACAATGTAGGTATCATCTATCACATATCAGTATTTAATGATGGTATAATAAAACAATAATGTATGGAATTATTCGATTATTTGTGTTCAGATTTACATGTGAAAATGACACTTGGGTTGAAACTGAAAGATGCGTGCGTGTATGTTTTTTTTTTTTTCTAATAATCATCGAGGAAAAATTAAAATAAGAATCAAATGCTGATATTTTCTAGAAAAAAAAAAAAAAAACGAACAGTTATATTGCTACTTGTTTAGTTGTTGATAAAATGCTAATATCAAAAAATACACATGAAAATTTAAGAGATGGTGAGACATTAAAACCAAAACTTAAGTCTCGTCGTCACTTGTTGTTTGTCTTGTTTATTGGTTTAATTCTTTGTCTTCCTTGAAATTGGAGTTTGGAATTATACCGAACATTTCTTTGCTTTACGGTCTTGGTGGCTGGTTGCCTAAGAATAAATTGAATATGATATTGCGTTCCTTTTTTTTTTTCTTCTATATATTTTTTGTGGAGAAGGTGATTTTGTTTACGTGATAAGATGAAATTTATTGCAAATAAGAAATGGGAAAAGAATAATATCACCTTGACATTGAGATATCACCTTGAAAATATATACTCCATATAGTTTCGATTATGTGTATTAGATAATTTTCAGAACAAGTTAACATTAAAAGTATTTTTATTCCACGAAGCATTAACTCCATTTCATCAAAATACTATACGACATTAATTTAATTTTGGCCCTAGTGACACCGATAGACAGTCCAAGATTTGATTCCCAAAATGCCCTTTGATAATTCATGTCCCCTAAGCCCATACATCGACAGATAATGTTGGGGACGATCCTCAGATTCATTTGGCTTTTTTTTTAAAATTTTTTTTTTCACATGTTTGATTAAACTAAGAAAATCTGATACCAAAAATAGGTTTCCCGTAAAAGCCGATCCTTCCAGTTTTAGTTCCGGCAGCACGAGGAACGATACAAGACAAACGAAAAGGAATATTAGTGAAAATCTAAAAAGAAAATAAGATTAAAGAATTTAAATTTATTTACTTGATTGGAGGCACTACCAACCGACGATACATAAGACAAAATTAGAAGATTGTTGAGCTTAAAAACATTGCAAGGTAGATTATAAAATTATCGTTTTATTCATTTTAACGGAATCATTAAAACAAATCATATTACTCGAATCTTATTTGCTTTTCAGCGATTGAACTATCATCACTAGTACTTAGCAATCAAGCCTTCTCGTCGTTATATACAAACAAGAAACTAATCATGATAAGTTCTGAGGGGTCGGAATAATCAGTGATATATATATCGGAAACTATTGAAAATGTAGTGGTCAAATAGAGAACAAAGGTTCCCATCAATTTGAGTAAAAGTAACTCCGACACGGGGAGGTAAGAGTGAAAAAGCATGATGTCCACTTCACTTAGTGTAAAATTATAAGACCTTTTAAGGCCACAAAGTTTGTTATACATTTTAGATTTTTTATTTCGTAGGAATATATGTATATACGAATCAATTTCCTACATATATATACATATATATATCTAAATATTGGTCAAACTCTAGAGACTATAGCACGTCATTTTATACTATGTAAGGTAGGAAACAAAATTGGAATACACAAAATCAATAATAATAAATGAAATACTTAAAATACAGATAAGAAAAAGACATCTGGTTTACCAAGATCACTAGGCCTAAATTAATTTATGTTTGTCTTTTGTAAAGCTGCTGCTTTCTTCTTTTGTAAAACGTCCTGAACCTTTGTTATGGAAAAAACCATCAATCGAGTAGTGTGTTAATCTCACATCAATATTCCTACTTCTATATATAAACCTCATTTAAACACGAAACGAAAATCCTTCAAAATGTGAAAAGAATAAGTACAAATAGGAAAAAGATTGATTGAATAATGGAAAAAGTAGGCAGCACACTGAATCTTTTATAAAGGAGTAGAGGAAAAAGATTGGAGATTGTTAGAATAATTGCCCCCACGAATCTTTTTGGGGGATTTTTAAGCAAATCTAAACTTTGAGGATTTTGATAAGAACCCACATTTATATTCGACAAAAGAGTTGCTTGCAAACTTTAACTCGAAAAATTATTTATCTAGTATTAAAAAGAATGAATTATAATCTAAAAGGGAAAAAATAAAACCCCAATCTTAGCTGGTTATACGTGTGTCATTTAATAAAAGGAATCAATTTGCCTAAGTTATTTATATTGGGACTGGAATCACTGGACTGGAAGGATATTTTTTTTTCAATTGTTAATTGTAGATCAGTTCTAATATTTTTAGTAGATTATTGGTGTGTATATATTGGTTTGAATAATTTTTAAAAATGAATATAATAGTAATTCTTATCAATGCAAGTTGAATTATTGAATTTGTTTTGTGAATTGTAAGAAAATGACAAAATTTACGCATCTAAATGCTGTGGGGAAGATATGAGCTTTTTTTTTTACAGTAATAATGGTTACTTACTATTCCATCAAGTATTACAAAATCATGTAAAGAATTTGACGTAAAGACCTACCACTTTCATTGTTGCTAGTCTATTAAATTTGTTTTATTTTGATTAGTAAAGTAATTGAAAATCAGTACAAAGACAAAATTTAAGGAAATGCATTAAGAGTTCTTGGTTTTGGTGCATGTGGGAATATTTGAGATTGAGACTGTTTACTGTTGCAAATTTTAAGCGAATGAGACATGAATGATCAATCATTTTTGGGTATGTAAAAAACAATTTTATCTGTGCCATGTAAGAACAACCTTTTAAAGTATGTGTATATACATATGTTGGCGTTACCTCGACGAAAATGTGAAGAAGCTAGTCATCTCACGAATGAATCTCATTGGCAAAGTTTCTACTTGATCGAACAACTAAAAGAGCTTTGGGTCAGTCACCATTTTAACACTTTGAGGAACCATATCTCTGTGGAAATCTTATAGAGGTTTTAATGGTAGTCTATTTAGAGGTTATTAATCGCCTAAAATTTGTTGTCCTAAAGAGGCTAGAGAATATGTGTAAATAAACCAAATCGCCTTGGTCCAGTGGTAGAAGAGAGAAAAGTATTTGCCACATGGGATCGAGTAGCATTGGCTACCGGATTCGAATTTTAACATGGTTTCCTTGGGCTTAAAGAATAGTCTTTGGGCCTAGAAAACCTTTAAGATCACTTGAATTATAAAAAAAAATATGTAAAAAATATATATATATATATATAGTTATGATTCGGGGTTGAAAAAGGCTTTGACATCAATAAACTTTCTTGCAATATTGCTAGACCTAAGTCCGGACTAGCTAGTTTAAATGAAAACAAATTCCAATCATCTTTATAGTTCTACTAGCTAGTTCCACTCATACTTACACCATTTATTCCCATATGGGTTTATGCATAATCTATATTGTGACTTTTCTATGTAGAAAACCCTGTGTTGCCACGACAACCTTTGGAACTTGAACCGGTAGATGTATTCTACAAAGGTAGTTTGCATGAGTGGCCGCAAGAGGATGCTTTCAATGATAATAAACAATTTTACGTGGTACGATATATTGTCAGTTATTTTCACTTTTGCCTTTGCTCATGATAGTCCAGTAACGATGTGTTTGCGTTTGTAGGTGAAAAAATCGCATATGAAGCCGCCTAAAAATTAATGTAAAATTTTTATTCTTGTTTTCCTTTTCAATGAAAATTGGTATCAATAACAATAGTTTACTTTTTTTTTTACTATTTGTTGCAGCTGAATCTATCAAAAGTAGCAATAGAAACTAAAGAAAATATGGAGCCGTCAAGTGAGAGACTCAAGGCCAGGAATGTATTTTTCTACATAAAGTACAAGTACCACGCGAATCAGGGACGAGATCCCAAGCGTCATCTTGGTCACAAGACTCGTGATCGCATAGCTATAGTAAGAAGAGCCTTAGACAAGAATACGGGACACCTCACTCTCGAGTTCCCAGAGGCAGTATAAAGAAACTTTTCAAAAAAAGTGGTTTAGGCGATGACTAGGTATCAAACATCCAAAAGCACCACGACCGTTACCCCTAGTATGACTCGAGTCCTACTCTAATTACTAATTACGAAGCTTCTCATAAGACCAGATCCCTCTGAAAATGTGGATCACAAAATAAATTATGTATGCTCGACAAAGTTTAATTGGTTATTTGCATTGTTAAGTGGATTGTTTGGTTTCTGTGCAATTAATTTGTGAGGTGTTTCAAGTAACTATCTTTAGTACAAGGTTGGCTTTAGTACAAGGTTCTCCATATGATGAGGTTGGCTTTAGAATCGACTATCTCTAAACTAAGATTGGCTTTAGTACAAGGTTCTCCAAAGTTTAAGACAATTAGCATTAAACTTGCAACAAAAAGAACAAAACAAAACCATAATATAAAACCGTTTGGTTTAACCAAGTTGGAAGTCAATACCCGAACCAGTCAAGCATTTTTTAAACCGGATAAAACCCGGTTCAACAAAAAATGTCAGCATGCTGGTGCGTTCTTGACTCCCCCAAAAAACTTTAGTGGTAAATTCCAGTTTTTACCCTTTGTATCGGATCGAATTTACCCTCATCTACAAAATAAATACCTAATCAGTTTTTTAGCTGCGCATTATTTACCAAAATACCCTCCAAATCTTCTCCTAATTACCAACGTCGTTGACGAGCGCGGAAGTGATACGATTGACAGTGGCGCAAATACGGTTGTTGATGGCGGAGACGGTGGAAAGATCGAGTTTTGCGGTGGTGACGTTGCTCCCCAAGACCTGTATCGCAACTGTGAGAAAACACGAAGGTAAATTGACGGAAATGCCCTCGACGCCATCGGATGGATTCACTGGAACAACAGAGAATCCAACGGGCAAAAGAGGGAGTTTAAAAGGATCCTCGCCGTTCATCATAGCAAGTTGAACGGCGTCGGGTTCGACAGTGGAGTACACCAGGAGACTGCCGGAGTTATCGGTGCAAGTTTCTTGAAGCATCAACTCTACATTTTGCGATGAATTGTTCTCCACCTGTAATTCAAGAACCAAACTTTTTACATCAAAATTCTAATTTTTTTGTTGGGATTTCGAAAAGTTTCGTGATTTTGAAAACCATCACTGACATTGATCTGAAGAAGAGAGATGCAATTTCCAGGATGTGATCCATTAGCGATATGAGCAACTTCTTGAAATGAACTTCTATTGAACAAGATCTCCAGCTACAGAGAGAAAAGATCTCAAATTTCGATTTCAGAATCTTTGGATCAAAAGAACAGAGACGAAGAAGACTCGAGTTTTACTTTCTTACCTGAGAGAGACGTTGATTATCGCGGAGAAGATCAAAAACTTGGTGATGAGAATAAGGAAGAAGCGTGACTGACACGGCACACGGAACAAGACCACCACAAACTTTCCTGGTTACGATCCTCACTGTGTCCTTTGTTGATGCTTGTCCATATGAATTGCTTATGTTCAGACAGAAAGTTCTAACCATTCTCTGTGACAGATTCATCAAGTTCTTCCTTGCTTCTACAGAAGGTATCACTGAAGAAAAAACACGAGAAAACGGATAACAAATCACATTGGTTGTGAAAGTTCTGAGGTTTACTTGTGAAACAAGTTATATACCTCCAAGGTCAGTGATGTTTGTAGCCATGAAACTAGCCATCCTTTCACACTGTCTCTTTAACACAGCTAGCCACCGTTCAGCGCCAAAGGCCACACCGCTCTTCACATACTCTCTAACCATCTCGTCCTGCACTAGCTTCTCTTCTACTTCCACGTGCTCTACCCATGTGACCTGAGAGTATCCGTTACGCATTGCTTGAATGATGCAACCAGAAGGTTTTCTCCGGTATTGATCAGTAAGAGTAGCTGATGCTGGTTTGATCCTATCGATGGGGAAATCTACAATCATCCATTTTCCTTCTTCCGCATTTTGCTCCACATACCGAAGAAAATAAGCTTCTCGTGTTGGCACCAATGAAGACACTACTTGTAACTCTGCAAACATCTTTTTGAAAAGAGAGACAAGACTCAGTTACCTGAAAGCCAATTAACTTTGATCATTCTAACTATTGTAAAACTGTAATTACTCACCAGAAGAAGAGTACCACTTGGTCCAGAGGCTCCAGAAGAAATGATCTGAATCGTCTTGGCGCTTGAGACTATCGGGCAGAACATTTCTGACCATTTATCCTTGAAGCAAAAGTTTAATATATTTATGGTACATCTGACTTTTTAAAAAATGTAATTAAAGAAATGTGTGTTTGACTTATTCTTACAGCATCAAGGAATGCTTTGACGAGGTTAATGCAGTTCATCATGATGACTGCATTAGCTCTTGAAGCTTCTCTGCGAAAACGATCATCATCAGTCATTGGAGGCCAGAAGAACATCTTCTTATACTCTTCCTCGTTCAGACACACACTATCATTGTATAGTCTCTTCTTACTCCACAAGGGCTCATTTATGCCACACATCTTTGCTAATTCTTGAGCACAAGAAACCGCAAGTTCCATCGCAATCGTCTTTTCTTCTTCCGCAATCAACATGTTATTGTTGATGTTATTAGTCTCCGGGATGAAACCGGCAATCTCTTGTGCAGGAGGAGGATTCCTCATGGAAACAATGCTGCGTAAGCGATCAAGCTGCAACATTTAATAAACCGTATGATTCAGTAGATAAACAACAACGGCCAAGAGTTGATTCATTCAAATATACATACCTCTCCGCGGAGGCGGGCGTTTTCGAGGCGGAGGTTGTGTCCACAAGAAGAGCAAGAGAGGCATTGTAAACTGGACTGAAGATTCTGACTCTCTGTCTTTAGAGTCTCATTCTCTGCTTTCATCATTACATTATCTCTTCTTGTTTGTTGTGCCTGTTAATCTTAGTATTAGCAACAATAAAAAGCTTAAATTTTTAACATGTTTAGTCTGAGCCAGAGTTTCTATCCCCCATTTGAACCGGTTTATACAGTCTAATTAACCTTGTTAAAAATCAAACCAAATTAAATAAAGAGTGATTATACCTTGATTTGGGTACGTTTATTCTGAAACCAAAACTTGACTTGTAGTGGCGAGAGATCAAGTTCTTTACTTAATCTCAATCTTTTTTCGTCATCCAGATGAGGATTTTCCTTAAACAATCTACGATAAACACCAATAACTTAAGCAAACATTTTTTCATACGAAATCGTTACTTGTAATCTTAAAAGAAAACGGCAAAGACGTACGCTTCCATTAGTTGAATCTGACGAGCAGTGTGTCTATGGTTACGTTTCTTCTTCGCCGGAGGAGGCTCTTTCTCGATTGCAGTATTCTCCACCGGGTCATGACCCGACCAAGTTGACATACCCGACCCGCTTTCGATCATGCTCGTCATCTCATACTCCTCTTTCTAAACAACCAAAACACTAAAAGTTATCAACTTTTTAAGAAATAAGATGTAAAAAAAGTTAGGGTTTTTGGTTGGAAGCGAAGACAAACCGGAAAAATGTAAGGGAAATTTGGGTTGTCGAAGGAGGTGAATTTGTAGTTAGGGTTTTGGATTGTTGTTGTCGGAGACGAAGACACCGAACCGAAAATGTTGTCGGAATTTAAAAACACATGTCCTTCTTCTTCTTCGCCTGATTTCATCTCTTGATAATCTCCGTACATTTTTTTTTCGACTTTCGTTTCCATTTCAAATCAGACAAAAAGAAAAATGAAGAATCAATCACTGAAAAGAAGATAAGAGTGAGTTTAAAGAGTTTGGTTTCACTTCATCTTTTGCTTCACTCTCAATTTTTTTTTTTTTTACTTTACCTTGTGTTAGCTTCAGAGAAACTGAAGAGATAAAAATATTAAAAGTGTCAATCAAATAGTTACCGGACCAGGGAGAGTAAACGGCGTCCGTTACTCTTTAACGGCGATATTTAACGGAATAACAGAGAGACAAAAAGCTTGTCCAACACTCTACTTCTTTTTTTCCTCGAAGGAAGCAGAGAGTCAAATCAAATCTTTTTGCACAGTCGATTCAAAAAAGTCAATATGTAGGATCTCAGTCAAACTTTATTCTCTAACGCGCGTTCCAGGTCCGTGTAGTACAATCGCGTTGCTCACACTTGATAACCCGAAGCCCATTTTTACTTAAGGACCCTAACAATCCAAGCCCATTATAACAAAAACACCAATCTATAACTATATGATTATAAAAAATTTACAATAACTCGTAAATAAATTAATATAAAACAATTTATAAGGTGATAATAAAATTTGATATGTAAGATATATTACTTTACTCTCCGATAAACAGAGTAATATAAGAAGTTAAAAGATACTACAATTATAATTAAGCTTGTTATTACAGTAAAACCTCTATAAACTAATAATGTTGGGACCATAAAATTTTATTAATTTAGAAAGATATTAATTTATCGATAAACTAATAATTATTAATTTATCGATAAATTAATAATTATTAATTTATAGAGAGATTTACTAATTTTATAATTTTTTTAAAAAATTTCTATCTAAAAATAATTTTTTTCTTCATAATTAAGCAATATCTTTTTAAAATCAATTGCAAGTAGAGAAGCAATTATTAAGTTTAAAAAACAACACAAACTTTTTTCGAATAATAGAGTCATATTTCACTAAAAATTTTACCTATAATATTTTAAATATATATCATAGTAATTCATATATGACATATATAAATTTATATCATATATATATATATATTAAGTTAAATATACATATATATATATATTGATAATTTTATACAATTATTAATTTATAATATAGATGGGACCATATATTTACATGAGATTTTCAAAAAAAATTATTATTTTATTAATTTATCGATTTATGTCATATTTTGCACTGGTCCCAACGCGGGACCGGAAGAATTTATTAATTTAGAGAGGTTATGAATTTATAGAGTATTAATTTATAGAGGCTTTACTGTAGTTATATAATTACATTGGAGGTTTGCGACAATAACAACGGTATGAGACACAAACATAAATTACTTCGCCTTTTGATTTGCATAAGTCAATGCAAGATTGAACATTACACCTCGTCTTAAGGGATATCGCGCGGACGTATCTTTCATTAAGGCATTGACACTTGTTCTGCTCACACTTGATCTTGGTTGCACAATTTAGATTAGTACAATCAGATGCATTCTTGCAAGATTGTGCCAGAATTTGAGTACCTATGAGATTTAATATGTTATTGATCATGATGATATATAATATCGATGATGAAGATGACGATGGTGATGATGATGAATGTAAGTATGTAAATAAACATATGGTCCACAAATTTTACGTACATGTTGAGAAAAGTAGAAGACCGATAAATATCGAAGCTGCTTTCTGCATTTTTGTTGAATAAGTTTGTATATTTCTCTTGTGTTTTGATTTCTTTGTGTGACTTAAAGTGGAGGATTTGGAGTTTGTATTTATACAAAATTAATGATGAAACTAAGATAACATCATTATTTTTTTTTACTTTAGTTTAGCATGATTTTTTGTATTTAATTTGTTGGATATAATAAATTGGATATTTAAGTTATATAATAAATTAAGGGAGACTCACAAAACTGCCCCTTTTTCAATACCCCTTTTCAAAAATGCCCTCTTTGGCTGTCCATTTTTAAAAATACCCCTTTTTATGTACAAAATGACTAAATTACCCTTCTTTTAATAAAAGATATCAAAAATATATAAAGAAATATAACAAAATTAGGTCCACAAAATACAAAATATTTTTGGCGGGAAAAGTGATCCCGCAATTTTTTCCTTGTAAAAATTTGTAAAACCTTTAAAATACTTTGTAAAATTTTCCCGTAAGATTTTTTCCCGCCAAAAATTTTTTTTGTGGGAAAAGTGATTCCGCAATTTTTTTGGCGTTAAATTTTTGGCGGGAAAAATTTACAAGGTATTTTAAAAGTTTTTTACAGGGTATTTATAAGGTTTTACAATGTATTTTAAAAGGTTTTACAACGTATTTATAAAATATTATAAGATTTTACAAGCTATTTTATAAGGTTTTACAAGTTATAAGGTTTTACAAGTTTTTTATAAGGTTTTACAAGTTGTAAATACCTTATAAAACCTTATAAATACCTTGGAAAACCTTTTAAAATACATTGTAAAATCTTACAAAACACTTGTAAATACTCTGTAAAACCTTTAAAATACCTTGTAAATTTTTCCCGCTAAAAATTTTCCCGCCAAAAAAAGTTCGCCAAAAAAATTGCGGAATCACTTTTCCCGCAAAAAAAAATTTTTGGCGGGAAAAATTTTTACGGGAAAATTTTACAAGGTATTTTAAAGGTTTTTACAAGTGTTTTGGCGGGAAAATTGCGGGATCACTTTTCCCGCCAAAAAATATTTTGTATTTTGTGGACCTAATTTTATTTCAAATAAGGGTAGAATGGTCATTAAAAACTAAAAGAGGGCAAACTTAAAAATGGACTCTCAAAAGTGGCATTTTTGAAAAGGAGTATTGAAAAATGGGCATTTTTAACAATTTCTCATAAATTAATGATGAAACTAAGATAACATCATTAATTTTGTTATTTTAGTTTAGCAAGATTTTGTATTTTAGTTTAGCATGATTTCATTCATTTATTATAAGTTTTTATTTATACACACTAAGATAACATCAATAACTCATTGTATATGTTTGCATTTATAAGTGTAAGAAAACAATTTCGTTTTCTTCCCCCGCAAGCAAAATATGTTTTGCTAATTATTTTACTGGTCAATACTTTTGGTAAATACCTGATTTACTTCATGTAACAAGATTTTATACCTAAGTTGTTTGTTAAGAGAGTGGAAAATTACCTAGTTTGATGTTTCTTAAGGTATTAAATTGGAAATTAATTATTTTTATTTTTTGTAAGCAATAACATCATTAATTATTAAACTAAGATAACATCATTAATTTTATTATTTTAGTTTAGCATTGTTTCATCCATATCTAAGTAATAACCTTTATAATGTATAATATCACAAAACACAATCTTCATTCCATTTTTATTAATTTAAAAATTCATTTAAGAATTATCTAAAATTTATATTTACTCTTTTCTAATGGATTCTAGTGAATTCTAAAATTTTGTCTTTCAAGTTCAACGAACTAAAATAATTATGATTAACCATTTAAATCGAAGCCCAACCAAAATCAAAAACTATTTTTGAAATTGACCTGCAACATGAATCTATGGTTTCAATGGATTTTTTTGACATATATTTCGCTGGATTATCCAAAACATAACTAGATTCGTTATTACCATAACATTTTCCAACGTTTGAACCATACAAGTTTGACAGATTTATCCCCAACTCTCAACGAAGTTTCGCGGATTGTCACTAGAGTTTTGTTGAACTAGCTTTATTTTAACTAGACTACAATTCTTGTTGTTTCTTTAATTTCGATAGACAAATATATTCTTAATGAGTATCTAACATATTTATATATAGTCTGATTTAGGAAACTAACAAACATGATAAAATATCAAATTATCTTTAAGGTCACTTTGATATTTATTTTCCAACTTGTATTATGTTCATCAACAATTAAGTACATAATATAGACAAATGAAGAATGAATCTGAAAAATAAGTGAAAGAAAAACATTCCAACCAAGGTTAATTTTCAGTCAAATGGCCAAACATAAACACTATTGTAATTAAATGATATGATCGATATTCAAAAGACATTAATAGTAATAATAAAATAGATATTTGAAGACCTTATATAGAAACCTCTTAAAATTACATGGGAGGTTTGTGACAGTAACAATGGTTTGAGATACAAGCATAAGCATGTTCACCTTTTGCCTTGCAATAGTCAGAGCAAGCAGCCACACCACAATTGGTATCATCCGGTAATGTCACCAGTTCTTCAAGGGGGCATTCACATCCACCGTTCATACATTTGGGGGTACCAAATGGTGTTGGACATTTGAGTTTAACACAATCAGAGTTCGTCTTGCAAGATACATATCCGGTTCGTGCTCGAATTGGTGTACCTGTAAAAATCATTGAATTGATTCGTTTTTCTTTTCGACATCATCGAATTGATTTATATACAATTGGAACATAAAATTTGTCGTAAACTCACATGTTGAAAAGAGTAAAATTCCAACGAATGTCAAAGCTGATTTCTCCATTTTTTTTTGTGTTTATACTCTTTTTCTTTTTGTAGTGATTTTCAATTAAGATGATGTGTTTACAAACAATTTATAATTGTAACAAAACGAATTTTCTTTTTCTTTTATACCATGAATAGTCTGTTCTTTTTTCACTTGAGAACAAAATATTTTTGATAAGGTATTTAATTGGTCAAGATTTTCTTCTTTCACTTTTGTCAAAGGTCAATATTTACATTTATTCTTAATTGATACTTCTTTGAATTTAAAGTGCTTACAATCTTTATGATTAGGGAAAGAGTTCTTAAATCACAGAACCAAAGCGTTTCCTGTCAAATGTTTTTGTAAGATCAATTTTGGTTGGTTACTTTCAGTTACATAAATCACTTGACGCCAGCCTAATTGATTGTAACTTTATCTAATCAAATTGGTGACCAAATAAAAATATAACTGAAACTAGCATTACTTGTTGACAAAAAATAAGAACATTATTATATTTTCTAGTTAAAAAGAAAAATCGATCGGTATTTTGGTTCAGTTAATATTAGCCCGGTTAAAAATACTAAACTCATATTCTTCACTAGTTTTGAGATAACTTTAAGATAAACCATAAGGACAAAATTGTTTTCTTTGTTTCAGGTCTAATTACCAAATCGACCATGAATCCAATGTTACAAGAACACAAGTCTTCGTCCTAAATAACAAGTTCAATCTTCATCTTCAACAATCTGAGAGAGATTAGTTCCAAGTATTACCGCTTACAACAAGAATCAGAAAGGTCTTTACTTGTCTGCATATCTCAAGGTTGAGCAGGAGCCGGAGCTGGAGCCATAGGTGGAGGAGATTGTTGCTGCAGTGGTTGCGGTTGTGGCTCAAGATGTTCAGATTCTTTCTTTGCTTTAGGAGATTCAGAGAGTTTTGATTCATGTTCGGCTTCTTGCGTTGATGAAGCTGCCTTTGGTGATTCAGACAAGTGAACTCTAGCAAACTCATCAACCACTTTCCTCTTATCCTCTTCCTCAGCCATACCAACTTTCTCTTTAGCCTTTTGTCCAACTTCTTCTGCAGCTTTAGCAACTTTGTTAAAGGCTCCAGTGACCCACGTGGCACCTGTGAGAACATACCGGTTCTTCATTATAGCTGAACCTGCATTGCTCACTGTCTGCTCTGCTGCAGCGATTGCTGATTTGGTTTTCTCAGAGACTTGGTACTTCTGATCAACTTCCCTGACTTTTTCTCCCACAACGACTGTGCCTGTGTTGATCTTATCAGTGAAACCAATTTTCTTATCAAAAGATGCAACTTTGGCTGATGCTGTAGATGTTAGCTGGTGCTTCTCATCAACACTCTTGGCTTTGGCTATGGCATCTTTTCCCAGGATAAAGCCCTTTGCAAGCATGCTACTCACAACATCCTCGGCTTTTCTCAACACTGAGTCACCTGCCCTGGGAGATTTGTTGCAGTCCTTGGGTTCCTGTGAAAAAGATAAAATGGTAAGAATTTTGCTCGTGAAAAAAATCTCAGAAGAGATGATGAATTAAGAGCTTACTAAGGAAGCTAAAGCCTCAGGGGATAGTTGGTAATCAGGGGCCATAGAGACAATGACTGAAGAATCAACAATCGTTGCTCCCTGAAATGAAAGAATCACATTAATACCCAGTCACACAATCACATAGAGGAACTGATACAAGATAAGAAGTGGAAATACCGAGAGAAGAACCGCAGTTTCAGCTCCTTGCAGATCCTTGAAAGTAACATATGCTAGTTTAGTCCGGTCAGTCTCGCTGTACAAACATGTCAAAAGAGTTAAGAACCCGAAGAACAAAAAGCTGTAAATCTAAACATCCAAAAGGAACACTAGAGAGGAAACCAAACCTCTGCGTCTCAAGGTACAGAATATCACCAGAAAAGGAAAAGAACTCCTTGAGATCTCTCTCGGTTGCTCCAAGAGAAACATTGCTCACTTTAACAGTTGTCATCTGCCAGTGAGATACAACCTCGTTAGACTTTAAACTATGATTTTAAACCAGCTAAATCGCATATCAGACTTATTCATTAGTTGTTTGGTTCCGCATTTCTTGCTTCCTTATCGCCTAAACAATGACTATACACTCCTAAAGCAACCAATATCATCAATACAATTGATCAGAAACACAACAACATTGTATCATCATTACAAGATGATAAAAAGAACCTCAGAATCTAGGAAAAGCTTATCCCTGTCTCACAACGGCACAGATCAGATATTTAAGATGACAAAACAAAACAAATGCTAAAGTGAATACCTGAATCCAAACAAAAATAATTTACCCTAAAAAAAAAAAAAATCTTCATCTCAGAAACAGGAATTTTCACCCAATTTTTTTTTTTTTTTTTTTGTCACCCAAATTAAAAACAGAGAATAGCTTCAAAATCCTCTGAAATAGAATAAAAAAGTAACGATTCTTCACAAATAATCAACCCCATTTGTGCAAATGTTTTTACAAAATAACAATCAAAATCAACAGATCTACTCACATCTTCATCAATCAAATCAACAGCAACAACATCCATCTTCTCAGGATAAATCCGAAACAAAAACCAAAACCAACGAAGGGTTTAGATAAACTCACCGACATGAAGAAAATCGCTTTGGCGCGGATTGAAACGTAAGTTTTTTTTTTTCTTCACCGGAGGAACAAATTTGAAACGAAACGAAAAATCAAAGAAAAGAAAAATCTCTGGTCGCGGATTTGATGTGAAGAAGAGAGAAAAAGAAAAGAAAAAGTGGGACCTGTTTTGATTTGGAAAAACGAGACTTATTCGGGTTTGGCACGTGATATGGTCGGAAACTTCTCACGTGCGATGACTTAAACTTAAAATATAGTCCTAATTTTAAAACTTCTTTAACTTTTTGACCCTTTTTAGACTCGTAAAGTTTTATCTAGAGATTTTTATTCATTAAATTCTGGATTAAGAATTTAAATCCGAAATCTGTTACTTGCTTACAATCATCAACCGACGTCGTGACATAATCACTCTCTCCACCAATGTCTATTATCCAACGTGTCGTGAGCTCAGAGCAATTTAATCATATCGTAGACATTTTTGTCATTTTATGATAAAAGGAGGATATACCGTTAAGATTCTAAACTATAGAGACACTTTTAGAATATTATAGAAAAAGTAAGGGCCAAAAATGAAAAAGGTACAAGCTTTTTTCGTTCGTACAGGTAATGTGACATTTCACGTTTTGCGCTCTCTCTCCGCGATTCACGTTTCTCTCAATCTGTCCGTGACTCCGGAGAGAGAGAACTCACCGGAGAATCTGAAAATCACCGTCACGTCCTCTCTTCCCTCGATCTTCGTTACCGTGAAATCGAATTTTTCGATTTTGCTCTGTTTTCTTGGGAATAAAAGAGGATAATTTTAGTGGTGAGTTTTTCGAGAAAGAGAGAGAAAGAATGAGTTTTCAAGATTTAGAGGCGGGAAGAGGAAGATCATTAGCTTCTTCAAGGAACATCAATGGTGGTGGTAGACAAGACACCACTCAAGCTGTTGCTTCTGGTATATTTCAGATCAACACAAGTGTTTCCACTTTCCATCGTCTTGTCAACACTCTTGGTACTCCTAAAGACACACCTGAGCTTCGAGAGAAGCTGTAAGTACTTCTCAAAGTTATCTCCTTTCTGAGTTTAGTGTTCTTGAAATTGTTTCTAATTCTGTCATTTTGCTTGATTGTGTCACTACAATGGTGAAAAATGTTTGTTTTAGGCACAAGACAAGATTACATATTGGACAGCTAGTGAAAGATACATCAGCTAAACTTAAAGAAGCTAGTGAAACTGATCATCAAAGAGGTGTAAATGTGAGTGATTTTTGATAAAGGAAGATTCTTGTTGTTCTGCTAATTTTGTTGGTTAATAGGAATTTGATGGTTTGTTGTTTTGTATATATTGGTTGGTTAGCAAAAGAAGAAGATTGTGGATGCTAAGCTCGCAAAGGACTTTCAAGCTGTGTTGAAAGAGTTTCAAAAGGCTCAGCGTCTTTCTGCTGAAAGAGAAACCGTATATGCTCCTCTTGTCCATAAGCCATCTCTTCCCTCAAGGTTAATGGCTTAATGCTCATTGAAGGAATTGAAAATGGTTTGTGTTTGCCTTTGTGGTTTTGTGTATTGATTTCTTTGCTTTGGTAATATAGCTACACAATAGATGATGTGAATGGAGATAAGCATCCAGAGCAGCGTGCCCTTCTTGTGGAATCAAAAAGGTAAGTTTATACAGACAAAAGTCTCCATCTTTATTCGGATTGATGACTCTTCTATTGATTGTTTGTTGCTGTTGTTGCAGACAAGAACTTGTACTGTTGGACAATGAGATTGCGTTAAATGAGGCTATTATTGAGGAAAGAGAGCAAGGGATTCAAGAAATCCAGCAGCAAATTGGCGAGGTTCACGAAATCTTCAAAGACTTGGCAGTGTTGGTACATGATCAAGGAACCATGATTGGTAAAACTGATTCTAAATCTTGTTATGCTAAAACTCTCACTTATGTCTTCAAAACCCTCAACCTAAGACCTATTTTTGCGTAGATGATATTGGTACTCACATCGATAACTCATACGCTGCAACTGCTCAAGGAAAATCCCATCTCGCTAAAGCCTCAAAGACACAAAGATCAAATTCTTCTCTGGTAACTATATTCAAGCTTTTGATCATACCATGAAATGTGTTTTTCTTGATTTTGGATGATCAGATCAGCCTACTAACGTCTTCTTTCCATTGTTTTTTTTTTCTTGTAGATGTGCTTGCTCTTGGTGATTTTTGGTATCGTGCTCATGATTGTTATTATAGTGCTCGCTGTTTGATTTACCCAAGCTCATAAAAGCATGGACAAGTGCTTCATCGTCAATCAAGAAGCATCAATGAGTGTATGTTTGTCATTTCACGGCTCTCTTTGTTCCTACCATTTAGTCTGTTGGACTATTGGTCTCTCGTTTTCCTGTTATCGAGTTGAGTATATAGAGTAGTTCGCTTTGGTTTGAGTTTGTCTGAGTCTTTGTTCTGAAAGAAAGAGTGTTATTGCTTGTCTCTGTAATATATTTTGTTGCATTTAAGATTGGATGATGAAGGGAAAATCCTCTGTTTGTGTTTTTAAATGTGAAATTCCTGGTTTCGATTAGCTAAATCATGAAGCTATGTGAATCTTCAAAAGAATGCAAAGCTTGAGTTAATGAACTTTACTCATATGATCTCAGAACAAAGTTTGAACAAATCAAAATCATCTAGAAAAAAGTAAGTCTTGATTGAGATAACAAGCAGCTGTAGGATCCTTAAGGCATCCACAGAACGCCTCTTCATCTTTCGGAAACGACTTTGGCAATGGATGATCAGGACTAACACCGACCTATTCAACAACCAGTAGCAAGTTAAACTGTAAGAACATGTTTGTATGTAGTGTCGTGTAAACACAGAGGGAGTCCCTATAGGACATCATATTATGTGGAGAAGTAGTTTCATACCTTGTCTATATCTGTGTGAGCTGGTGTTTCATATCGAGCTACTGTTACTGCCAAGCCCGAACCATCAGAAAGCTCAAACACTGACTGTATCTTGCTGCAAAATGTGTTAGAGTCTCAAGATTATTACAAAGGTTCAGTCTCTGAGAAGAAGAAGAAACAAAAACTGCGCCTTTTTGTTTACCCTTTTCCGTAAGTTGGTTCTCCATAAACTAGAGCACGTTTGTTATCTTTCAAGGCGCCTGCTAATATCTCGCTGGCACTCGCGGTGCCTTTGTTAACCTGGGAAAGAGAAAGATTGTGTGAGAACTAAATCTTCCATGGCATTTACAATAAGGACTAGATTTGATGAAAGGAAGGATGGAAACTCATACGAGAACGGCAAGAGGCTCAGAGGTTGCTATAGCATTGCTTCCATCAGTATCATATATATCTCTAACACCTCGACTATCGCAAATATACACAATCACTCCTTTATCTAACCTGTGGATACCAAAAGTTGAAGTTTCTATTATGATAGCTGTGGATCTTGAAATTTTCTGATTCGTTAGATGTAACGGTTTATGAGGTTATACCAAAATTTAGCAATCTCAATTCCTTCTGGGAAAGAACCTCCACTGCGGCAAGAAAAGAAATTCCAAGTGTTTAAGAAAGGCTGATGCAGAAACAAAAAGGAGTTTGTTTTCATAATAGTCATCACCTATTGTCTCGAAGGTCCAAGACAAATGCATTTACATTGTTGCCTCTCAAAGTTTCAATTGCTTCCCTTACCGCACCTACAAAAAAGTGTTCGACTTTGAGAGAAAATAAACCAGAGAGTAGACAAATTTGTAAGAAGGAATCAGTAATGCCAAAGAATACATACTAGAAGCATTTTGATTGAATGTCGTTAGCTTGATATACCCAATCTTAGGAGAATTACTCCCAGAACCAGGAAGTTCACATAATCTTGACTTCACCGGATTCACAGAAACCCGCTCTCGCCTGAAATAACAACAATCATAGTTACTCAATGAACGTGAAAATGAAGACAAAGGTAGACAATAAAGGGATGAGAGAAATACGTCAAAGTTAAGAGTCTCGTGTCAGGTCCACTATGAATCGCTAGCTCCACTGTACTTCCTTCAGGTCCCCTGCATTTTAAACAAAGTATTATCCCGATGCAAATGGCTTCCTCATCACAATGATTTCTGAGAGCTAAAGGACGGATGAAATTGGAAATGTGGCTCACTGCAACATCTGTGCAGCATCGTAGATGGTCAGAGTTTCTGTGGTTGTATTATCAATTCCTAGAATAACATCGCCGGGTGAAATTCCCGCCCTATTTGCAGGACCTCCTGGAGCAGCTGATATAACAACAAGTCCAGCTGGTGGTCCATCTGATGCAGCAGGGTAACCTATCGACAGCCCAACACCCGTAACCGCCCCTTGAGTCCCGGACTGCCTTCAACCAAACCAGTTAATTACTAAATCTTACATACAATCTATTTGCTAGATTCAGATTAGCCTATTTTCAGGAATTCTTACCCGCAAACTCTTAAACTTTCCGGGCTCCAAGAATCGAGTAAAAGGATCATCTAGTGTTGCAACCATTTTCTTGATAGCCATGTCTAAACACAAACAAACAAACACCAAAATCAGAAACAGGTTGTACTAAACCGTAAGAGGTTAAACCTTTTGTCAAAGCTCACACATACATGTCTCTTCTCGAGTGTTCATAGGCTCATTTCTTAAAGCAGTCTCTCTGTAACGAAACCAGCTTTGTCCATTGAAGGTTTTATCAATATATGCTCGATCAATTGTTCTCCAAGCCTCGAGGAAGAGAAGATTCTCCTCACTAAGACCCCCTAAAGAGATAGAGAAAAAAACCAGACAAATGAAGTCAAATTGCATTCCCCAATTTTGACTCAATATGTAAAAAACAGAACTTACATGATGGTGGTGAATCAGTGGTGACAACAGAAATGGAAGAGACAAGCAGAACAGAAACTATCCGAACAAATGCAACAGAGAGATTCTGTCTGAAATTAACTGAAGATTTCATCATAACCTTCCCAGAGAATTTCCTCTCATCATTTCTTTCGATAACACACAGAAATCTATTACAGACAAACACGACTCCTGGGTTTGTTGCATTGCTCCTTGATTTGTTACTACGACAACGAGCATAACTAAAGTTGCTAGCTTTTGAAATCTTTGGAGGTTGAGTTACCCACAATTTCACCTGCAAAGGTTGACAATTCGATTACACAGCTAAACGGATACAAATTGGAG